TTAATTATTTAGTCAACGTGGTTATTTCATGTTAAACGTTAAAAATACACAAATTAGAAAAGTTTCACAGTAAAATAATTTACTTCAACATTCTATAACCCTAAAAAGTCTTAATTAATATAGGTAACCTTAACCCTGGTTTTATATAGTATACAGTATGTTGCAGAATTGACTAGCAAATGGAGTAATCCAAATGTAATTTTCCATACTGGCTTAAAGATAAATCACGATAAAAAAAGTTTTGGAATTTCACTACCGGTATTTTTCCCGCCGTTACGGGATCGAGACCTTTAATTTGAGCCCTCTCCGGTCGTTCTACAACTTCCCAGTTGCCCACAATTTTGACGCAAAGAATCGGCTTGCGTCATTAATTTATAGTTGAGTCATAATTTAAAAAATCCGGTACAGCAGTAAAGCAATATAAAAAATTCAGGCTAAGAATTATGAAACAGTCTTGTTCCCCATCCGTGGGGCAGGACTAAAATTGAAGTTTAAATTTTGATTTTAAAATAGCCACCTAAGTAATCATTCTCTAATTGTTATGGAATATGCTCAGGTTCATTGTTAATAAGTATGTGCAATATTTGATATAATACTAAAATTTGAAGGCTTTACTTTCAATGTTCTTTATTTTATTGTTAAATATTTAAAAGTTATTGCAAAAACTAATATTTGTAATTGTAATTTATAACATTATAGATTCCGTGCTTGCAATTATACAGGTAGTAATAACGTTTAGTTTTTGAAATCCGAATAGAATTAATAATAAATAAAAAAAGCAGTATTTTCTACCACTTGTAGCTACGGGCCACCAGTTCTGGTTACAATAGTAATAATTCCCTGTGTTGGGAGGGAAACGCCACCGAGCGTCCTTACTCGATATAATGGGGGCGAAAAGTGACGAATTACCCACCCAGCCGTGGCGCGGGGATTTCTGAAGCGTCCGTCCGGGTGAAACACCATTTTGAGGGTGTCCGCGTCAAACACGTCCGGGCTAAACACGGAGCCTATGGGACTACTATGGGATGTCCCTGGGATAAAGTGTGCTGTCTGGGTAAAGATTAAAAATGTAGGCTATTATGTAAAAATATCTTTTCTTATCAATTCGGTTTAGGGCCCTTTCACACGAGGCCACTGGTGGCCGCCACCGGTGGCAGCCACTGGTTGCCCGCCACAGCTTTAACATTATTTTAAATGAGACCTTTCACACGCAGCCACTGCAGTTGCCCGCCACTACACAGTGGCCGAGCAGTGTCTCCTCGCGCAACTGCTAGTCGGCAACCGCCGGCAACTGCAGTGGCGGCAACTCGTCGCGGGGCATTGAATTAAATGGGAGCTTTCACACGTAGCAACCAGTGGCCGCCACCGTGGATGAGCGCGCAGCTACTATTTTGAATCAGTCCAAATGCAGACTGCAAAGACAAACGCACTATGGTAGTTGTTGAGTGTTTTCGTGTTGAATTGTTTGTTTGTGAAAATGAGTGATCAGAAGAAAAATAAAGAGGACGTTGCTGAAAAAGAAAAAGACAAAGGAAAACAACAGAATAAGAGAACAAACAAAATAGTAGAAAACAAAGTGGATACTGAAGATCTAATTTGCGAAATTGAAAAGTAACGGGCAATTCGGTATAGTACGCCTGTGTCTTTGACTTATTTTTTTATTATCAACGCGAGAAGAAGGAGATGTTCATTGTTCGACAGCATTTTCACAACTATCATTGTACAGTGGCTGAAGTGGAGTGGCTTGTAAGTTGCCTGTATCATCCACTGCAGTTTCCCGGCCGGTAACTGGTGGCGGACACCGGTGGCCGCCACCAGTGGCCTCGTGTGAAAGGGCCCTAGGTACGTTAGGAATGATTCGGTTTAATGACTATACTAATACCGTAAACGCTCAATGAACAAATATTTTTCTTCAATTTCCCACTTGTGATATACATAGGAAACTGGTGGCGAGGAGGAGCAGTATGGAATCCTTATCCGAACGACGTACGAGAACGAGACTTGTTCTTCACACGTTTTTTCTCCACATCCGTTTCGGTGGTCACGTCGGAGCGTCGTCAAGGCCGAAAGACAAAGCCGAAAGTTGGTGTCCGAGGCGGAACCGATGGACGTGCGACAACCTGCCACCTCGGAGCTATCAAACCATCCACTGACTTTAGTGAGGGTATAGTTGGTATATAGACCAAACCGAAACAGCTGACACAAAGACAATGTCGACAACGCGAACGGTTAGGCACTAACTGCACAAAATTCAATTTTTGTGTTGTAGTTATTGTTTTCTCAAAATGTAGGTATTTTACACATTAAAATAAAAAATGAAAGAAAACTGAAGAAAACAAATTATTAAATGAAAATTTAAAATATTTTTCACGACAAAGACAAAATGTAATTCTACGAAATGCTGACCCTAAATCAAAACATGGCAGCTGGTTATCCTGTATACCATTGAAGAAATTAAATTTAGACTTTTAACCCCAAGAATTTAGGGATTCCCTGGCACTGAGATATGGTCGGACACCGATCCATTTACCAACCAAATGTGATGGCTGTGGGAAAGAATTTAATACAGACCATGCCCTTAAATGCCCTTATTACAAACGCAAAGCTTGAGTATAACTGTATAACTGCAATAAGCATTTTATACTGTATTCCAACCCCGTACGAAGGCACACGAAGGACGGGTACTCTGCTAGTAATTAATATATAGTTCGGCCGCTTAGAAAACGCCCTGCGCGCTAATGCTAAACCAATGCTGGAGGAGGTGTAGTGTAGTGATGTAGTGAGTCGGTGGCTCAGTCGGTAGCGTCGCGGACTTCGGGCCCAAGGCAGTAGTGTCGTGGGTTCGGATCCTGGTCACTGCCGATAACATTTTATCAGTACAGTTCACCTTTGTACTGTACCGGCTCACTCCTTGCTTTGCTGTAAACGATCCACGCACGGGCGCTTAGTCTATGTGGACGGGCAAATGCAAGGTTAAAAGAGGCCGCCAACCTCTTTTAAAAAAAAAAGGTCGCTTTCTAAGCGGCCGAACTATAGTTGGCAATTTGTCCAGCTGCCTGCATCAGTTCGTTGGATCAGTCTCAGTCACTCCAGTCCACTCACTCAAGTCTAGTCCAAGTGCCAAGTGTCACTCTGACTCCCACTAGTCAGTCAGTCAGTCAGTCAGTAGGTAATAATAGGTATAGACCTAACCTATGAATGTATCCTAAACAACATCAACATTCAAAAGTTTTTTTTTTTTTTTTTTTTTTTTAACTTAATTTTATTTTACAATCTGTTCAATACTTTGAACAATTAGTAAAAGGGATAATATAAATAAGTGTCTTGACCAAGAATCTTCCCTGTGAAAGATCTTGCAAAATTAAATAGTCATGTCATAACTAAAACTATACAAATCGGTATGGGAGTTCTAGAACTTTCACAATTTTCAGTCTGTTGGGAAAATCACTATTGTCCAGCAAATTAACGGCTATATTGTTCGGGTGGGTTTCGAGTTTTTCTTGATAGCTCTTGCTAATTCTTGTTATTTCTTCAATTACTGTAGGTATTCTGAAATCTTCATGGATTGTTCGATTCGAAACAAACCACGGAGCATCAACTATTCTTCGTAGCGCCTTTGACTGAAATCTTTGAATAATTGCTAAGTTGGATTTACTTGCCGTTCCCCAAAGCTGTATCCCGTACGTCCAAATAGGTTTGATCATAACTTTGTAAAGTGTGAGTTTATTGGTCAACGAAAGCTTAGATTTTTTGCCTAGAAGCCAGTTGAGTTTACGAACCTTCAAGTCCATTTGTTGTCTTTTACACCAAATATGTGTTTTCCAAGTTAATGGTTTATCCATATGGAATCCTAAATACTTAACGCTGTCCACTTCTGTCAACGCTATATTGTTCAAAGTAACTGGAGGGCAGTTTTCTTGTCTCAGCGTGAATGTTATGTAAAGATTTTGTTTCATTAACTTTAGTTCTCCATTTTTTTAGCCACAGTTCGAAATCATTTAATGTAACTTGCAATTGATTTGAAGCATCTTGAGGATTTTCGTGAATGGAGAGAAATGCAGTATCATCCGCAAACGTAGCAACCGTAATATTTTGGCCCACGGGGATGTCGGAGGTATATAGTAGATATAAAACAGGTCCAAGAACACTGCCTTGGGGTACTCCAGATTGAATAGGCTTCAAGTCGGTTAAAATTTCTTGAAATTTAATCTGGAAGAATCGTTCATTTAAGTAAGATTTTAACAAACTGTAAAAAGAATGGGGGAGCAAGGATTTAAGTTTATACAGTAGTCCAGTGTGCCACACTTTATCGAATGCCTGTTGTACATCCAGAAATGCAGCAGAACAGTACTTTTTTGTTTCAAATGAATTTTTAATGATGTCTACTAGTCTGTGGGTTTGTTCAACTGTAGAGTGTCCTTTCCGGAAGCCAAACTGATGCTCAGGAATCAAATTTAAGTCTTCTATAATTGGGTTCAATCTTCTTAGGATTAGTTTTTCAAATAATTTGGATACAACAGGAAGCAAACTTATGGGTCTGTAGGACGAGACCTCATTTGGTGGTTTGCCTGGTTTTGGAATTACCACAAGTTGAGCTATCTTCAATTGAACTGGAAAATATTCTAGCCGTAATATTGCGTTAAATATGAAGGTCAGCAATAATATTCCTTTTCGTGGCAATTCTTTCAGAATCCTGCCAGTGATTAAATCGTATCCGGGACTTTTCTTTGGGTTTATTTCCTTTTGTATTACTTTTAGAACTTCGGGCGGTGTACAGGGTGATATAGGCAAAGATAATTGATTAGGTGAATCCAAATATTCAAAAATATCACTCTCGTCGTTTGGTGGATTGGGAAGTAAGGGCTTGAATACTTCTGAAAAGTAATTTGAGAATATACTTGCTTTCTCCATGTTAGTTTTGGCCCAATTTCCATCATTTTTCCTGATAGGTGGAACATGTTGTACTGGGCGCTTTACGTACCTCGTGGATTTCCATAAGGAGTAATCTGTGGCTTCAGTTGGAGATAAATTGTTGGTAAAGTCGGAAAACCATTCATTCTTTAGATTTACTAAACATTCAAAAGTCAAAACAAAATCATCAAACCCAAACTAAATTACAATTTAATTAGTTTAGATTCCGGTGAAGTGAAGCCAAGATCACTTAGTTTTGAACTATTCATTTTGAGTATGGCTCATCAAGTAAGTGTTTATAATTACTTAACTTATCGGCCACAATTCTTATGGATACTGTAAACCTGTGAACTAATAAGGCCTATTATTTTTTAAACTTTTTTTAGGTTATCTATCTGTCATATTTGTATTGATGCACCTACCTTCAAGCCTAGGCTAGACCAATGTAAGTTGATATAATATTCTAATATCTTAGGTGTAAACTCAATGGCGTGACTGGTTGAAATTCCTGTAATCTGAGTCTATCATTAATCATAAATTACTTAGTTATAAACAAAAAAGTTATAAGTTTTAGGCAGAGGATAGGCCTACGCATCCGGTAACTGGACGTGGATTAGGCTTCCGGCAGTAACTGTCATCTTAACGTACCAACTAGGTACCAAACTAACGTACCAACGGTAACCAAACTTGCTGATAATGAAAAAATTGATGGTTAAATTCTGTTTATAAAATAAAATAATAAATGCCTCAAATTCTAACAAAAGATGTAGGCCTACAGTTAGGAAGAAATGGCTTTCTAAGCAAAATCCTTGACAAAAGTTGGTGACACCGATGGGATTCGATCTAAGTACCTCTGAACATCAGCCGAGTACTCTATCCACTAACTTACACCACAAACACCAACGGCAGTACACCATATCGTTGTGTTAATGGTGTTCCGGGCCTCCACAACTCGGTGACGTCACTGCCGGACGCCTAATCCACGTTTGATTACCGGACGTTCATCCTTTGCGTGAGTTTTAAACATTCAACGACATAAATAGGGGCAAATGTTAATAAGTTAGGCTAATTTTATAAGCAAAAAACCCTCTCTAGGTCCTATCAGACATTTAATTGTTTCCATATACCGGTACGTAGAATTTCTATCCCGCAAATGGGATTCTTAGACCATGCGCGGAATTAAAGCAGGATGGGGTAGGCTACAACAGAATTTTTGGTTCTGACCCGGTTTTTCTTCTTTATATTAACTTTGATAAAAACTAAACCCCCAATCGATTGAACTATTGTATCAAAATATAATTGGCTACTTAAAAAGCAAGGTTTAATCAGCTATATAAAACATGATCCTAAGTTACGTCAAGTAAATCACAAGGGATTGAACAAAATTGTTATTCAAAAGGGAATGAAACAGGATTTTCTCAACCTGGTAAGCGGGATATCAATTTTTTTTATGTCGTCTAGATTCACTGCTTATAAGTTAAGCCTTTTGTTAAAGTTTTTCCACGGTGTTTTATCCAAGATATTAGGTTTTTTAAGATTGAAGAAACTTTGTTAACTTATCCGACTTTAAGTTTACTGTAGGCTATAAAATAAATAGATTAAAAATCTTAGGTTCATTCAATACTGTGGATTTCTATAGGCCCTATCAGACATGTGATGATTCAACTTAAGTAAGTTGTGAGTTTAGATCGTGCAAGAGAACAGCCAAAAGATTAAATGCGATGGTGGAGCAATACATGGCAGAATGGTACTTTCTAGTTAGGATATGATGGGGTTAAGTTCACTACGAAAATTGATCAATTAACTTACTTTTATAATTACTGTCAGGCGGGTATAAATCATTAGTTCCAAACCTTTGAAATATTTTAAATAGGCTAGTTTATACGATGAGTTTGTCAGAACTACATTAGGAAAACAAAGTATACCAACAACTAACTCAACATTTGCGTATATAAAAACTGGAAACTATGTGGCTTTAGTGGTAGTATACTCGTGTTCCTTAACGTACAAGGTACTTAATATCCAACTGATATGATTTTCTTACAGTTTGAACATCTGGTGGCAAAATACCGAGCTGTGAGCCAATTTCCTGGGTTAAGCAGCGCAAGGATTTTGTGTAAGGAGGGTTCTAATGTGGTTGTTAGTTCTGCTTGGAGCCAAAAATGTTTAGAAAAGGGAAAGAACTCCAAGTTTATGCAAACTCATTTTGTTACGGATAAAAACATCATTCATACAACTCCTGTGGATATTTCAAACGAGTGAGTAGACATATTGTTCTATTTCCTGAGCTTATACTGACAATATTCCGTAGATAGCCTACTTGAACCAATTTCACTTATAATGCAGGCCTATGTTGTGGACAATATGATTTGTTGGCAGTTCTAATTAGAGTAATTTAGGTAGGGTATTAACTAATGTTATAGGTCAAGTTGCTTCATTTTGTAGCCTACAGAAAACTTTTTCTACGAACATTTATAATGCTATGTTTTACCTTTCTCGGTGCAGGCAAAAATTTAGCTGAACCTTTATTTGTGCTGATTAATATTTAGTAGGCCTAATGATAACTCTAATTTAAAAATGGTCTCTCAATGATCTGTCTTTTTCCTAAATCTGGCCTACGATACTGCTTGCCCGTTGAAGCTGTATTATTGGGTTCTACTCAATAAACAAATATTATCTTGACAATGTTAATTCACTAGTAATTTGGTTGATTTTACAACTAACCAATTTAGCAGTAACTTAACTTAGTGATCCTGCTTTTAAAATCATGCAGGCCTATCCCCTTTAATAGCCTTCAATCGTCATCATGCCTTAGACACATAATGGTAATTTGGTATTTTATCATTATCTTAAGACAAAACTTTATGCTACTGTACAAAACTAATCTCCTTTCCATCTACAGTAGCAATCGTTTACAGCATTTGGATTCCCTAGACCATACGCAAGAGTCCTCAAGGTTAAAGATAAGGCCTTGCTGTTTTTTTAGTCTACTTAAAACATACTTTGAAACGGTACAATTTGTATGAGTACAGTACAATACAATACCATAAGATTTTTATTTGAATACATTTTCATTTTTCATTTGTCCCCCATCAACATTTTACTTTGATTGGTTGTTGTGATTCTCCGCCAGGTTGTTGTCAGCGTGGTCGCCCTCAGGTGTCGGCCGTGCAGTGTTGAGAGAACATGACAATGGCGGGGCAGGTGCGGGGGGCAAGAAACAACACCTAGAGATCTGGCGTGACAACCGACTGGCCCAGCTGATTGACCTCAGTATGCTGGATCAACACGGGGATGTATATACGAGTGGTAAGTCATGTATCTGAAATTGTAATTCCACATTTGTTGATTTTGTTAGCAACCTTAACTCGTTCCCTGCGAGAATCCCATTGACGGGGCGGTCGAAGATGCGACACAGGACAGGTTGAAGGGACAAAATCACCGAAAACGGGACTAAAAGCGTTGACAGACGGGATTTGACGGGAAATTTTACTACCAACTTAAACCTAACTTACACCAAATTAAAGTACAGTATAGGACCAGCACAACATACCGACATAGTTTAGTTGATCCCCGAAAAATGCGGAGGTCACGGTAGACCAACTTGTATAACACAGCTTTGTGACTCCGTTCAGAGTCGTACGCACGCTGTGCCGTATGGCATGACTCTGATCGTAGATCAGCAGCGAACAAGTTAAGTAGGCCTAATATTATTGTCTAGGTAGAGAGATATATAATAGCTCGGTATGTACAACTGGGACCCATGATGTTTACGCAAATAAGAGTAAACGGGTATTTATGATTATTGATTTTTGTCCCATCTAAAAACAACACTTTCTAGGTAGGCTCTGGTCTGGGACAGTTTTCACATTAGGCTACTTCAGGCTAGGCCTAGAGGGTCGCTGTATTTTTACTGAGATAAAAATCTAATGGTGATTGGCAGGATTTGAGCACAGGACCAAAGTCCCACACCCCACCACTAGACCAGCCGGCTGTCCAAATTAATAATGTAATAGCAATAAAGTATAAATAAATTCATCAGAGTCTAATTCATTTTTCTCACTGTTTTGCCTTATATAGGCTTGTGACTTTTGTATAAAAGAAACAAACGTTATGTAACAAATAAGGTGGCTAGATTAGATTGTTTGTCTTTTGTGTCCTTATCTGAAATTTTAATGAGTCTGGCTTCTGTGTGACCTTAAGTCAACTGTTATCATGTAACGACAATCTGTCTTTAAACTGTAAAGTAACTAAGATAAGTTTTTGTTTTACGAACTGCAGTTAACAATGGTAGGGAAATTTTACCTTTTCACCAGTAGGCAATCAAAAGGTCATCCCTATGGCAATACTGAGAAAAGTTAGTAACTTTTTGATGGTTCGAAACTGGGACTAGCTATCTTAGGGACTTGCTAAATTAGGGGTCTGACTTAGGGGAGGTACGAATAAGGCATTAGTTCAAAATTCCTCCGTGAACAGCGCTGTAGTAGAGAGCACTTTGGCAATGAAGGTTTACTAATCGCAAAAATAGTTCTGTTCATAAAATAAAACTATAAATGCCTCAAATTCAATTTTATAATTATAAAATTAAACCATCATAAACCTAACCGAACTAACCAAACTTGCCGATAATGAAATAATATAAAAAAGTTTACTAATAGAACAAATAATTCTGTTGATTAAATAAAACTAGAAATTGCTTAGTTGAAATTGTATACTGACTTAATAATAAAATTAAACCGTCATAACCGAACCAAACCAACCAAACTTGCTGATAATGAAAAAATCTTAGACAAAAAGTTAATGCTACCAGCGGGACTCAAACCCGGAACCTTCATCATATCAGCCCGGCACGCTAACCACTAGACCACCGAAACCGATGTCTATAACCCGTATTATTACGGTAATGGGGTTCCCTCAGCTAATAAGAAGCCCACAGCTGTCATCGTAGGCTCATCTATACCTCCCCTGAGTAAATACCCTAAATTAGGCTTCCAACAGATGGTCCTGGCTAAATTAAATATATACAGCTGATCTTAGAAAGTAACAAAGCTACACTGACTACCCACACTCACTACCGTACCTCACTACCTGCAAGGTCCCGCATTAGGAATAATTATATGGCTTGATTGCTGGAATAATAGCTAAAAAAACATCCATAAACATGATCATGATATGTATAATCTATGAATGATAATGATCTGCCAATTTAAATATACAAAAACGCTATTATGTAGGTTTGCTATAATCTTTATCTTTTTATTTCAAAATAACGTTAATTAGGAAATATATATTGTTTTAATTTTACTGAGGTCTGTTCTTCTGTATGTGAGTATTTTATGCATCGTGATGAACCGTTTCGTTCACAAAGCACAACTTGTACCAAAAGTGATTTTCTGGAGTTTGCTCAAATTATTCCCGTCCTTGGCCTCACCTTGCTCGTGAAAATTGGCGTTCCTGTTGGTTGCCATATACATGAAATTTGAGTGTGCACCAGAAAATACCACTTTCAATCCTAGTAATGAAATATATGTATACTATTTCATTACTCTTCAAAGAGTGAGTTATTGCAGCCTGTGGCGCTATACTTGGCTGGAAACTAAGACATTAAATGTATTAGTTTGAACCCTTACAAGTAATATTGAATTTTACAAGTATCAAGTATTGGCCTTTTTCTTTAATTCACTACCACTAGTGGAATGTGGTTTGGTTAGGGTTTTCTAACTCTTACTAAACTCTATACTAACCTCACCTAACCTGCCCAAAGTTTAACTCACTACCACTTTTATTACTAACTAGCTGTAACCCGCGGGCTTTGCCCCGTTTAACTTCTTAATTTTCAAGATTATCTCGTTCGCATGGCTCAATCACGTCCTGGTTGAAGTTTGTTCGCTACGCTCACTCACCTTTAGGTTGGAGCTCGTTCGCTACGCTAACTCGCCTCCAGGTTGAAGTTCGTTTGCTACGCTCACTCACCTTTTGGTTGCAAATTAGCTGTTGTCATAAATGTAAAAGAAATAATAGTGCTGCACCCTGTTGGTAATCCTTGTAACTTTAATGCTATTGAACATCATAGAACAGAACCAACTTGTTTAATTGAAACAGCTGTTAAGCTAATAACAAGAAATAATTCCATTTCTCATAAGGTTAACATGGGAAACTCCAGAGCCACTGGGGCGGAGCCCGAAAGGATTTTTGAAATAAGAATATGCCTATATGTTAATCGGGAATGTGAGCTATCATCATGCCAAATTTCAGCCCAATCCGACCAGTATTTTTCGCGTTCACTTGTCACAAACATACATCCATCCAAACTTTCTCATTTATAATATTAGTAGGATTAGTAGGATAATCTATTGCTCTAAAAACTAGAAAATCTATTGGTAGTGAATTAACGGAAAAGGTCCAACCAAGTATTGTTTGTTCCAATAGGTCTCTGACCAAAAGCACCTTGGTTTGTTTAATACATTATCTGTGTCGTTAAGGCCTGAGGCCTGTTGGATGACCAAATGGAAAGTCAAAACTGATTCCGAACGAACCTCATCAGAAAATAATTGTTATTTACATTTCTTATTTGTAGCTCAACATTTTTTGTTTTTCAATTTGTTCCGAATTTGTGTAATCACTTTAGCTTAATAATTTAGAGGTTTACAAGCAATTTTTTACTTGTACAGGGGAGTTCAGCTGTCTGGAGTGGTCTCCTTGTGAAAAGAAGCTGCTCTACGTCGCTGAGAAGAAGCAACCCAAAGCTGAACCTTTTTACCCGAGCAAACCTAAGGATAAAGATTCAACTATTCCTGACGAGAAACTACCCAAAATGGTAAGTATTTTTATACTCTCTCCAACTAGACCAAGTGAACTTGTGAAAATATAATCCATTTATTAGTACACACGTAGGCATTTGAATCATTTGAAAGCCCTGCTGCTCAAATACTACTTTATTTTTTTACGACCTTTAAATCTTAGCTTCTTTTATGTCATCCGATTTTCTTGAAGCAGGGCAATAAACATTGGAATGTGTGTTGTTTTGTAGGGGGAAGAACATGTTTTCCGTCAGGACTGGGGAGAAACAATGGTCGGCAAACATCAGCCTGTATTGTGCGTCTGTGATTTGACACTCGGAACTGTCTCTGTGACGTCAGGCATCCCAGACGACGTGTCTGTTGGACAGGTACGTAATTTAACAGTGACATTGTTGGAGAGTGCAATTAGAATTCTCTAGTGATTAGACCAATTAGCCAATTAGAGGTCACCTAAAGGCGGGGACACACTTGTCATACACCCTTCCGATCCTACTACGATCCGATTTGCGGGATTCCAGAAGGATCGGTGCGGGATCGGAGGGGGTGAACACACGTCATACACGCTTCCGAACCGGCGACCCATCTCCGATTTCCTCCACCGGGTAGATCAACACTCGCCAGTCTGATTCGTAAACGTAAACTACGTGCAGAAGGTGATAAATACTGTATGTTCAAAAACTTTGGTATTCAGGATTTAGCCATGGTGGCGGTATGTCTAGATGAAGAGGAAGAAAGTCAGACCTGGAGGGCAGTAGAAAACGGAGAATTTGGGTCCATTCTGCATGGAAGGAAAGCAGAAGTGCCCATTATATATATTATAGGTTTTTCTCTCTCGAGTTCGTTTAGCTCTTCTACCCGTCCGATTTTCATGATTGAGTTCTCGAATTGAAGGTATGCACGCACAGATTTCAAATCAAGCATCGGCATATATTTATCTTAAACCATTGTTCCTAAACCTTAAGAAAAAAGGTTATTTTTAAGAAACCACCCGTCCTGCATCCGACAAACGAATAGACTGCAGTGTCGGTGCGTGATCGGAGTCAAAATCGGAGTAGGATCGGAGTATGACGTGACGCGTGTCGGAGAGGTGTAAACAACCGCGTTCAATGTTATGTACCATTCCCCTCTCCGACAGTCGTACCGCAGTATGATCGGAGTCGGATCGGAAGGGTGTATGACAAGTGTGTCCCCGCCTTAATACAACACTGATACCACAGAGAAGTGAGGTACAAAGAAAACACTCTTACTGTGCGCTTTCAGCTCCGGTACGTTGGGCTGGAAATATACTTGTAACGACCAAGGAAGAGTACAAGCAGCAAGTGCTGTGCGGAAATTCCTATCGCACAAGGCACAGGGTCTTCCTTCACCAAGGGCGTTGTAGTACATGATGGCGAGGGGGGCGGTGTTGGACCCTGCCCCAGACACCAGCGACTATTTCTAGACACCGCTTAAGTGTATCATTGAATTTGTCTTCTGTCCGTTAGGGCCCCTTCACACTGGGCCACCATGGTGGCGACACCGGTGGCGACACTGGTGGCCGGTCAAAATGTGCATGGACCACCAGTGTAGCTGCAGCCACAAAGCTCACAGATGGACGTCGAAGAGTCAGGTGCTTAGCGTATATATTTTTTTTGAAATTGTGAAAACATAAAAAAAACATATTTTTTTGTTCATCCGTTTTTATGAGATATAAGTACCAGAGAGACTTTTTTCATTCACTACCAAGACCTTAGAAATAACCTTGACACGTTTCACAATTACTACAGTACTTACTCAAGAATGAGTGTTTTAAGTTTTGATGAGCTTCTGGGACGTCTGAAAGATAAAATATCTCTAGAAGAGAAACTGCTACTAACGTTGCAAAAAAATTAAATAAAAACATAGTTAATATACCATTTATTAATAACACTGTAATAAATGTATACTCAATGTATACATTGCAATGACGGAAAGATGTAAATGAAATAGGGTACCTATACATTTTGTTATATCAATAAAATCGTTTCCCCATATTTATTACCTTAACAACTTCAAAAGATTAGTAAACTAGTTTACTGATTAATGCCCGCTGGTAATGACTGGTGGCGCTGCCAGTCGCTCGAATGTGAACAGTCCGATAAGAAACCATGGTACGACGTGGTGGCGCCACCAGACTGGTGTCTCTGAAAATCGCAAACCCCGAGCCACCGCATTTCTGGTCGCGCGGCCAGATGCGCCACCAAAGCTCAGTGTGAAGATGTCCCATTTAAATCAATGCTAATGTAACGTAGTCACCATGGTGTCGCCACCGGTGTCACCACCATGGTGGCCCAGTGTGAAGGGGGCCTTACATACTCTGTGCAGATGATTAATTACTTACTAGGTTTGACTATTGGTATAGGTAGACATCCCATTCCAATTTTAAGTTGTCAGTGGATATTAAAAATAAACCTAGCTCAATTGAGCTGATAGAGTGTCCTTGCCATTAATTTCTGTTGAATGTGCCAACATTTAAACCTAGACAAACTGCCTAAATCATTGCATCTTTTGTCCTATCAACTGTCACAGTGACAAAACTGAGGAGGAGGATAAACGTTTTACAGGAGCACACTGTGTGAGTGTTGATTGATTTTACTGTGTTCTATTTTAATAAGATCTTGGCTTCAGCTCCATATAGATAGGTCTATTTCAGTTTACAAAATACTGATGGAAGGTGGTATTAGTGTTAGTCCAGGATCTGAAGGGGGTTGAGTGTGCATGGAAAGCCTGACGCAAAGCTGGACTATGTAGGAAAACTTCAGAGAGTAGATTGAAGCGAGAATCAATGTGAAATTTTGCTAGATAAGCTAGCCGAACTCTGTAATTTTCTTTTTAGCCACATTTCTGTAATAATTCATAATCACGATTGCTAATGATGTTCACGGTTTTGCCGCAATGGCAGAAGTTGATGATGTCTCTGCGAATGGGAAGATGTTTCCAATTTCGCCGTGACCGAAGAAGATGTTATTGTTTCTAACAAGACTGTAGAAAACATTCTAGATTACATGTTAGCTTCATACTAATCGCTTATAAAAAAATAATTTCCGAACTCAAGTTTGGGATAGGCGGATTTTCGGAATAGTGGGACTCTACTATAGCTGTTTCTTTATACAAATATTAAAAGCCCAATGCTTGAAGACAGCTGTCCAGTTTTAATCAATCAAAAAGCTGTGTTCTCGAGATTGAACCAGCGTCCTTTTAATTGTCAGGTGAGCACTCCGACCACTCAGCTACCCAGCGCTGCATACTGAATATTGAAATATGTTGTGGGTTTTAAAGTCAGTGTACATCAAAGTCTACATTTGTGGGATAAGCAAGACATGACAATGTTACAGGCTCTCTGGGTGCCTGATGGCATAGTGGCTGTGGCCTGGCCCCATACACCTCGCAGGCTAGGCATAGTGTACTGCACCAGTCGACCTAGCTATGTCTTTCATCTCACTCAAGATGGCACATTCAGTGAGTACTTGTGTATTATTTATCTTTTTGTAGGCACGAGTATTCTGTAAAACTGAGTATTGGTTGGTTAACTCATTGGTATGAGTGAACTGGGAAACACAGTCTGCTATAGCCTAATATTATTGGATATATATTTTTTTTAGTTTTTCTAATGGAAATTGTTTATTTTAATTGCTGTTCTTGTAGTTTTCTAGTACCATGAGAGTTTAAATTGACTGAAAATAAGCACAAGAGAATATGAGATATGGTTACTTGTTGTAAATACCTTTTCATGATAGTTATACACTGGTATCTACGGACATCCAAAGCCAGAGAGAAATATAAGATGGTTAGGTGTGGTTGAAGAACAGAAATCTTGATTGCTGAAACCCTTCACTCCCAACAAATAGTACTTAACATTTTATTAGCGCTATTCACAATCTATCCGTGACCACTGTTTCTCGTAATGTGGACTGCAATCTTGAGAGGAACATTGCAGAAATATATCATTGATGTAGAAGTAATAGGTAAATTTAGAGTTGATTTGAGAGAACTTGTCATTGTAATGAGTGAATGTGTTTCAGTAAAGTTGTCCAAGGACGATGTAGCTGCTCAGTCTCCGAGACTGTCACCTGATGGTGAATATCTTGTGTGGCTACAGCGGCCGGTCTACGGGCCTCACCACGCCTGTCACGAGCTGGTAATACTTACTACATGTCTCAATGTTATAGCTATTTTAGGCTCCTCAGATCCGAATGAAACAACCTACTAGGTTATATAAACTATATGATCAATACCTAATGATAATGTACAATTAATAAATGTACTAAAGGTAGTGTTTGTGTACCCGTACCCTATCCTTGAGTTTTGAATCTTGAAACTAAAACCAGCATTGACATTTTTTTCCTGATGAGCTTTAGTTTATGACTTCCAATTTGGAAGTTATTTTTGTTGTGTTTAGTTATGATTGTTTTCATTTATAGGGGGATCAAAAATCAACACTGTACAGTCAAAGAACATATAAGACATAAACAGTGAGGATTCTTAAATGTTTAACTCCATTGTTTATTTTTAGCATAGCTGTAATGGCTTCTGAACTGTCAAAATTTGGTCTAGATTATATTTTGAGGTAGCTCCAAATACACGCACACCACAGGATATATGGGATTGAATTTGGTTGTTAAACCATTTCTAAAACACACTTTCTGAACACAGGTGAAGGCAGTGTGGGGGGCTATCCCTCACCCTCTAGTGCCCATAGTTCAGACCAGCATCCAGTGTGCCAGTGGACATCTGTTCTACGGACTGTACTGTCAGTCGCTGCCGGCCAGGTGCTTCATTGATAACAACAAACTGATGCTCAGCACAGGACAGCATTCTAGCGTCGTCACCTACAGCGTCAACACAGGTGAGTCGAGTCTGTAAAATAGTCAAAGGTCTTTAGTGAGCTTACCCAATAGGGAAGAAGCTAATACCGTAGATAACATGGTAAGACCTAGACCCAGGGCCTATGTACGGGTACTCAGTTTTGATGTCTTCAGAAGCCAAACACATCATTTGTTTAGATTTAGTGTTTGTTGGCACAATAACTTAAGTGAAAATCATCTGATTTTAATGAAATTTTGTATAATCATAGACTAACCAACACAAGTAGACTTCTCATCCCATTGTAAATTTTGAAGCTCGTTTTTCATGTCTAGTTCATGTACGCCACACTGGGCGCTAGTGTCGACGAAATTTTGTTTCTATTATTTTGGGGTTAATTTCTTGATTTGTGCTTTACTGTTTGGTTAAATAACTAGGGGACAATTTATTGTTTATGATTATATCGTATATTTGGTTAAACGAGGTTTTAAATGACTGTATTAACGGGAAACAAATTGTAAACAAAACACGACCTCTACATAAACCGTACAGAACTAACAATAAAATTGTCTTCATCTGTTCCATTAGGATGAGAAATCTACTAAGGGAGTATGTTTTATCTATGGTATAATGGTGTAGCCTTGTTTGAGGTGTGTTAATCGTTACAAGGAAATAAAAAAAATGGAAAATTTTAAATTCAACATAGGCCTAATTCTAATGGAGAATATGTCAGCCATTGTAGTTTGCTTCTTTATGGATGTATTTTGATCAAATTTAGCAAAATTGTTCATCATACTATACTATCACAAAACACACATTATTAACCTTTGTGCAGCAGCTAACCTGGGTACTCGTTAAACCTAATAGAAAAAAATCTGACATGTTTGAGTAATTATTTTTGTGAAAATCAAATCAGGCAAAGGGAATGATTTGAGGTACTACAAGGGGAAAGGACTTCACCTTAGGGTACTCCTCGCTTAGTTGGTAGGTTTGTTGCGGCAGTTGTGTCTTTGTTTTGATCATCAGATCATTCTTTAAATTAAGTTTGCACTTGTTTTGTATTTGAAATCGCTCATTAAATTACCTATTATTTTATTTTTAGACTTGTAAGGTTTATTTTCCAACAGACAGTGGAGCTGTGTGCCAAGTAACGGAGGAGATTGGCAGTGTAGTGGTGATGGACGTGTGTACCCAAGGATCATTGGCACTGTGCTACAAGACTGTGGTAGACACTCCACCGAGCCTGTATCTGGCTCATATCAACAAGGAAACTCTGCGTCTGCAACCTCTAGTCGTTAGACAACCCGTGTGTCCACCCGTGAACCTGAAGTATGTCCTAGAGCTGCAGGCAGAGGTCAAGGATAAATTCAGTAAGTGTTAAGGTCGGTTTCCCTAGCTGCCAAATCCGGTTGTTGAATACGGCTGTGTTTTTTTACACAAATTCAATGCAAAAGGGTCAGCTAAAGGTGTTTTCCTAGGGGGTGAAATTGCGAGGTACTGTATCCCACAGCAGCCTGCGAGACGGGCGACTGCTCCAAGAGTAGTCAGTCCCGCACCCCGCGATGTAGTCATGCTTCTGGACTGTTTTTGGCATAGTTCATCAAGCCTGTGAATTGTATAGGTTTGTAGGTTTAAAGTCGTAACAGTGACTTTCTTTTGACGACTTTATTTGTTTAGTTTAAGTTCTGAAGGTTAAAAATTAAAAATTCAACCTTAAACTACGACAATTTATGTAGTTCAAACTATTTTTTTATCAATTAGCAATGTTGTGCCAAACTAATTTTTGTGGGATATGAATATTTAGTTAAACTCTGCACATTCTGATTACAATAGCATCTCTGAAAGATAAAAACGTAAAAACTAATGCATAAACTTACCCCACAATTAAATATTTCAGTTTTAGAAAAATACCCCTTCCATAAAATCTTGCATCATACAATCATGCAGTAGTTGTATTTGGTAGCCAATTCGACTACCAGGAAAGCCTGCCTCTAACTACTCCAGCCACAATAGACCAAAATTTCTGGTCAACTCTCTCAACTGCATAAATAATGTTTAAACTCTTTGAAATGCATGCACTTGGCTGAACTAAAAATGGCTGTTAAAGAGTTTTCAGAGTCTAAAAATTCTTCTAAATTTGAAATTCTTGCCTGTCCAGAAGAGTCTAGATAAGATCATTTGATCATAAATTTTGACCCACTAGAAATAGACTATTCTGAAGGCAATCTGTTGACAAGTGAGTTTGTATTTTCAAAGTAAATTTGGACACTAGTATTATTTATTGCTGAGATTTTAATGTATCAGGGCATTAGAAGTCCCAATGCTGAAGGGGGATAAGATTGGACCAGTCACTGACTCTGGTGTTGTTTGCAGACGATTTCAACGCTATTTACTACGGCCCTGCTGAAGGCGAAGAGAAGAGCGTTCCTTTGATAGTCTGGCCCCATGGAGGCCCACATGCCATGTTCTTTGAGTGCTACTCAGTCGTCAACCAGTTTTTTGTCAGTGCTGGTGAGAAGGCTATTATTTATACAGGGTGCGGCAGTCTTTCAGTGGTTTTATTATAAACATTGACAAAGATGCAAATTTAAACTTAAGGTCAGCAAGAGTCTCAATTGGATTTACCACTAAGCATTAGGGAAAAAAGCTGCAGATAAAAACAGTTATTATGCTATGATGCTCAAAATTAATAGGAAGATACAATCAGTGTTATTTTACTCACTCATTCACATGTTACAATAATAATAGGATATTCTTAGTAGTCTTTTACCAAGGTAACAGGTGTCACTTTAGTAATAGTGTTATCTATAGCCTCTGTCTGCTCTGTAGGTTTCGCCACTCTCCAGGTGAACTTCAGAGGATCCACAGGTGTGGGGCAGGCGGGTGTAGACTTTCTACCAGGTCGTGTTGGCGACACCGATGTCAAGGACTGTCACCAAGCTACGTTGGCAGCCTTGGAGCAGTTACCTATCCTGGACCCTGGCAAAGTAGTGTTGTATGGAGGATCTCACGGAGGCTTCCTGGTCACTCACCTGGCAGGTCAATACCCGGTAAGTGACAATATTGACGGATATAACTTGGTATAAGAATTTATTCAAGCATCTAATGTTGCAGAATTGTGTCTCACGCCTAAAAAAAGGAATGATAATCTTATTTATGTTCAAATTCATATTTGCTACTGCTTTATAAATTTTCCAAAATATTAAACGATTACTTGTAACAGTTTTGAAATTTTAAGGTGCTGGCTATTGCAGATAGATGTTGTCTGAGTTAGGAAAAATTCTCTCTGGAGCTCTAGTTTAGTTATGAACTACAGAGTTCTCAATATCTTTGCAAATTCTTCACTGATATCTGACTTATTTCTCGATTCTCCTGAGATTGTTTGCAGTACAAATTCTTACTTAAACTATCTTGAGCAAAACCTCGCTCAGTTTGTTCCCACACATTTATTTTGTCCCAAGAATTAAAATTGAATCCTCTATCCAACTAAAAAAAAATGTGAATTTGTACAAAAAAATAATTATTCTAAATTCTTTTGATTTTTTAAATTAAAATTTGTAAAAAATTATAACCTTACCTAGAACTCAGTTATGGAAGAACACTTGTAGAATAGCACAACTTTTCCAAACACTTCCTCAAATTCAATATAACTGAAAATGCTGACAGTGATACTAAATTATTCCAATTTTGATGTAAAATGTAAAGATTGTGTGTTTTTTCTGTGTCAAAGTGGACCCTTTCCCATTCAGGTAAGCTTGCTGTTCTAACAAAGATTGAATATCTCTGCCAATCAATGTTGCAAACAACACATTTTGTAAAGTTGAAATGTAAAAAAAACAATGATGCAAATGACATTTTTTTGTGTGGGATATTTTGTTTTTAAAAATACATCGGTTGGCAGCACTTTCAAACGATTTGCGTGAGCAAATTGCTGTGTTGGCATTGGTGCGGCCAGAATGTTTTGTGTTTTCTGAAAATATTTTATTCTATACTCTTGTCACTTGCAACGTTGTTCGGCGGAGCGATTCGATTCTTAAAACCTAGGTCGTTGTGCTGTGTTACGCATTGTTTTCTTGTGTTCGTAGGATCTGTTCCGAGCAGTAGTAGCCGTCAATCCCGTCGTTGATCTAGTCTCCATGCTGGCCACCACCGATATCCCCGATTGGTGAGTAAGCTCTGCGTTTTGTTGCAGGACTTTTACAAAGCCGTTGTTGCACGTAACCCTGTTGTCGATGTCGTCTCAGTTCTCTCTCTGTCTGACATTCCAGACTGGTGAGTTGTTATTTTGTTTAGTTCCGTTCGCTTTGGTTCTTCTTTCCCCGACTAACGTCCTCGCATGAAACTGTCAATTTAGTGTACGGTGAAATAAAATGGTTCTGGTTGTCAACAATTTGAGATTGAAAGTTCAATAATTAATATAAGTATAACTATAAGTAACTATGATAATTTGCTTTACGTAACAGACGCTGTAGATATATTGTTCTTTGTCTCTGGTGAAATTTTCTTACAAACTTTGTAGTATATCATAAGTTATTTTTGCATGGTTTGCTTTGTATGATAAGTAACATTGACAATTTCAATCCATGTTTTTCCATGTTAAAATAAAGACATTATGTTTCATTTCAAGTAAATTAATTCACAACAGTTTTTCTCTTTGGAATATTTCTAACAGTTTTCACATAAACTAATAAAGGGGGGTGTAGAAATTGCACATTTCAAGTTGTTTCAAAACTTGATTCCGAGGCAAAACAAAAGTAATACAATACCTCTTTACCTTCCAGAGATTATGTTTGTATAATACAGTTATTAAATAAATAAAACTAATAATTAAATTTGTTGCTTTAAACCCTACAAAATAAACAGTAATTTACCTATATCATACAGGTTGCGTTTACAAAGAAGTAACCTATTTAAAATCCATTTTCATAAACTGTTTTGTCTCTGGTTACAATTAGACTGTGGTTAAATATTCAACTGAAGGATCAGTTTTACTTATTACAAATTCACATTTAAAACTTTATAAAGAAAGTTGGTCCGCGCTAGGGGAGTGAAGCTCTAAAGGAATTAATTAACCTTATTACTGTCATTAGCATTTGTCCCTCCCCTAAACAAAAACCATTAAAAAACAAAAGCTTTAAAATGGCATTTCAATCATTAAAATTGGTTAAGTGGGATGGTAAAAAAGAGATGTTACAGATAAACCCCTTGATTGTATTCAATTTTTTCACATCTATTATTTTTGTAAAGATATTTCAACAGTGAACATGAAAATACCACTGCTCGGTTATTTAATAAATCTGAATGAAGTTTTAATACATTTTAACTCAAATTTCATAGATAGGCCTATAAACCAAACCTTTGATTGACACTATTTATATGTACTAATTTACATGAAATAAACAAAGAAGAAGATTTGATATGAAAGATCCAACCATTGCTAATCCACTCAGTACGTAAAAGTTTAAAATTATTATCACTTTAAAGTTTTGGAAAGTTTTTTAGAGGACGAAAAACTTGGCTTGGATTGCATTAGCAAGAAGGAGTGAATACACAACTAACTTAACCAAGAAAAGACTTCTAGACGGTTGAAAGCACACAGAAAATTCACAACACAGTTAACTGGCTATTATGCCCCTACAAGGGCTTCTTTAGATGAAAGATCTTCCTTCATGTACTATTAATTATCACTATGTATTTTTAACGTGTGTGATTACTCACTATGAAATGTCCGCAGGGCCGTCGTAGAGGCTGGCTTCACATACACAGGCAAGGAGCAGGTAGAGATGACTCCCGAGTTCCTCGCACAGCTGCGACGTGTTTCTCCTATACAGTACGCTGACAAAGTTAAGGCTCCGACGTTGCTCAACATCGGCAAGAAGGACCTTCGGGTGCCTCCGTCCCAAGGCACTATGTACTACCACACGCTCAAAACATTCAACGTGCCTTGCAAGTGAGTTGGACATTATCTGTCTCTACTGAATCTCAAGAATACTGTCGGGGAAATAAATATGTGCACTCGAGTTTGAGCCTAAATATCTCTGAGATGAATTATCAGATTTTGTTGAAACAAAAATTAAATGTAAGTTTGTTTAAATACATTTTACGTGGTAACAATTTAAAAATTTTCCGTTTACCAGAAAAATTTATATAGTTGAAAGATCCTAAAAAGTACCGGTTTTTAAGGAACTCTGCACTAACACTGAACTTTAAAAATTAATTGTAAACAAACCACTGAGCCAATCTTTCTGAAATTTTTATGGCTTATTGGTAGGTTTATTGTTAACATTTCCATTCATTTTAAAATTTTTACTCACAATAGTTTTTATGCTGCTGTTAATTTTTAAAACCTATGCTAACATCGTTAATAAGACGCTAAAAATTTCGTTCAAAATACCATCGTGTTTGTCGTGACACAAGAAATAACACCAATATGATAGATTTATAATGCGAACAAAGGTGTTTTTTAAACAGATTTATATTTGTAAACAAAAATTTCTCCCGCGACTGGCAGCGGGCCGCCTGGTGTGCGTACGATATTTCCCAGCCGGGCGGGAGCGCGGCGAATCTGCGACGTTGCCGATGTGTACCTGGCCAGTGGCCACCACACTGACATTGCATGGGCAGCCTATTCACTCACGGCAAACAACTTTGAAAATCAATATTTAGCTTCTGCCTTAATTTTTCGATCGTTGGAAACATTTTTTGCACGTAAAATTCATATAAGTACCTTCGTATCGCTCCCACGGTAAATTGGTCCACATTTATCCTTGTTCCGATGTTAAAACAATTGGCCACATGATCATACACGGGATAACGTTTGTCACAGCACTTTTCTTTTTCCGCATGAAAGAAACAAATCGCACTAACTATCATCTGTATTTCACCATCGAAAAAATTCCGGCGAGGAGCCATTTTCGAATAGATGTTACCGACCGGTGTAAAAATCTAAGACGAACTGGTTAGCTTGGTTAGTCATCTCTCATAGCGACCATAGTTCAAGAAAGGTGGGAGCTAATGTTTACATTCCATTACTCATCGGATATTCCAGCTGAACGCAACACTTCCCGGAAAGGGTGATGACCGCTCCGATTTATACTCTCAGTTGTATATTTAAAAGTGGCAAATTAAAGAAACCATAAAATAAATACTGGTGGAAAATATTTACTTGGCGTTTAGCTGTTATAATTTTTTAACTAGCTCAATCAACACAAAACAGTTGGCTTGTTGCTTGTAATACAAAATTAATTTTTCATACCACCATAGTTAACTTATTATAATGTATTTGTTTCATGACTAGTTAATTAGAATATATTGTTAGTAAATTTATGTAAATTTCAAACTAAATATTGATATACACAGTTGTTTGCCGTGAGTTAATACCGATGCAATGTCAGTGTGGTGGCCACTGGCCAGATACACATCGGCAACGTCGCAGATTCGCCGCGCCCCCGCCCGGCTGGGAAATATCGTACGCACACCAGGCGGCCCGCTGCCAGTCGCGGGAGAAATTTTTGTTTACAAATATAAATCTGTTTAAAAAACGCCTTTGTTCGCATTATAAATCTATCATATTGGTGTTATTTCTTGTGTCACGACAAACACGATGGTATTTTGAACGAAATTTTTAGCGTCTTATTAACGATGTTAGCATAGGTTTTAAAAACTAACAGCAGCATAAAAACTTTTGTGAGTAAAAATTTTAAAATGCATGGAAATGTTAACAATAAACCTACCAATAAGCCATAAAAATTTCAGAAAGATTGGCTCAGTGGTTTGTTTACAATTAATTTTTAAACTTCAGTGTTAGTGCAGAGTTCCTTAAAAACCGGTACTTTTTAGGATCTTTCAACTATATAAATTTTTCTGGTAAACGGAAAATTTTTAAATTGTTACCACGTAAAATATATTTAAACAAGCTTACATTTAATTTTTGTTTCAACAAAATCGGATAATTAATCTCAGAGATATTTAGGCTCAAACTCGAGTGCACATATTTATTTCCCCGACAGTAGGTTTGAATTTGATATTCAATCACAATTCAAGAAAGTCTAATACAGTGTTGTTATGATTGCACGGATGTTGTTCATTGTACCGTGTACTTAAAAATGAAGAAAACTATTTGAATATTGAATATATTGGATACACCTTAGACCATCACTCAATTGCTATTCAGTAATAGTAGAACTGTTAGAGTACATGAAATGACATGTTATCTGACTATTGTTAAATTTCCAGGATGAACCTGTACGATGACAATCACTCATTGTCTACAGTGCCTGTGGACATAGACGCAACCATCAACGCAGTTCTGTGGTTCCAACAACACTTGGCTGAAAAGCAATAATATGTGCCTCAATAACTATTTAGCAGCTGTCGGCCTGATCTTATGTCTAGTTTATATTATATGCGTTGATTTGTAGTATAAGACAGTAACATCTATTTCATCTTATAACTTTTTAAACCATTTAAAAATATCAATGAATTACAATTTTTCCATCAATTACAAGTACCTGTCATGGTTTTCTTGATTTTTTTCGTACCAAAACTGAAAAAAATCCAAAGATAAGAGAATATAAATCAAATTTGTAATCATTTACAATTACTGATTACAATGAAGAAAAGAGATTCCTTTTGTTGGTCAGGCTAGACAGCAGAGTAGGTAGGCAGCTGCTTATAAGTTAAAGTACTTCTATTGTTCCAAAACAAGTGGCACACTTTAAAGTGTGGATATGACAGTTTGCATTCTGTTGAATATGTGTCACATGTTGTACAGAAAAAAATCATAAGTTGTATTATGCAACAGCAATATGTCATTTTTTATGGCAAATTGTTTAATTTTCACGTGCCATTTTATACTAACAATTTATATTACTGTAATTTACTAAGAAAAATAAATTGGATGATATATTTTCTAAGATACTTTATATTGTCTTTGTAAATTACCTAAAAATTCACAATCTGATTCTGAAAATAATTCCTTTGCCAGCTAACCTGCAAACTAAAGAAATTTTATTTGATTCAATTGATGTATTTAATTAATTTTTTGAAAATTCTCTCTACATTTTTCAATATTTTAAATTTCTGTATTTTCCATACAAATGCTTAATCAAGTTTCTAAACAGGAAATTTTAAAATTATTTACACTTTATCTTATCGTACATTTCAGAGTTAAGCTCCTAAACATGATAAATTTTAACTTAAGACAATATTCACAAAAAATATTATATATCCAGGGAAGTTTGTTTTGTTTGTATTTTGCTTTTCATATTTACTTATTAATTATTTTTTATTTCAATAACTCTATAATACAAAATAACTGGTTTAAAAACACACAGGAAATGAAGTGTAAAGTAGTTTTCAAGTTATATATTAATAATTTATTAGTAACAAAATGAATTTCTGTGTATCTTCTGTACATACTCTGGATATATTAAAGACAGGTTATTTTTAAACTAAAAATTTATATACAGATCAATTATTTTTGGTTTTTCAAATTTGTATGAATGAGTATGATATAAAAGTTTTTTTTCCCACAAACAGCAATAAATAATATAATTTTACATTATATTTCTCGTCATTTAGTAGGGAACCGAAGGTCAGTCCCGGCGAGGTTTTCTTTCATCCATTTGTTAGCCTCTGCCTCCAACTCTTCTGTGAATTCTTTGTTCCCCTTCAGTTTGCCTGGAACGAAAATAATCACAGTCGGTATTTGTTTCATAAAAAGTTATTTCCGTTATATTTCATAAGAAATTAGCTTGAATTCATAAACTTTTTTATCCACATCAGTTTCAGAGGTGTTTTTAGCGAATTACCCATATAGGAAATAAGCTATTACCGTAGTACTCATGGTAAGACCTGGACCCGGGAACGATTTACTTTTTCGTTTTGATGTCCTCAGAGGCCAAAAACACCATCCGTTCAAATTCATATATATATGTGTCCGTTAGCACGATAACTTGAGCAAAACTTATCCGATTCTGATGAAATTTGGTACAATCGTGTAAACCTATGTTTAGGCCTATTCGGACTAGTTTGCGAACGAGCATGATCAGACCATGGGGATTTATGGAGTAAAAATAGGTTTTTCTTGTTTTTCACCATCAAAAAATAAAATTTCCCAATTTCTGTATATACCATTTTGAAGAGCTTAAAAAACAAATAATTTAGTATATTGAAGCGTTATTATGCACTTAATGATTGCAGGGAAAATTCCAAAAAACTAAATTTAAAATTCCCATATTTTTCTTATGGGGAATAAGTAATCTGTTGTAGTTTGCTTGTTTATGTATATACTAGCTGTACCCGCGGGCTTTGCCCCGTTTAACGTCATATGTGAGCTCGTTCGCATGGCTCAATCACGTCCTGGTTGAAGTTCGTTCGCTACGCTCACTCACCTTTAGGTTGGAGCTCGTTCGCTGCGCTCACACGTCCTGGTTGAAGTTCGTTCGCTACGCTCACTCACCTTTACGGTTGGAGCTCGTTCGCTGCGCTCACTTGCCTTCAGATTAGCTCGTTCGCTACGCTACCTCGCCTCCGGGTTGAAGTTCGTTCGCTACGCTCACTCACCTTTTGGTTTCAAATTAGCTGTTGTCAAATATTAAAAAAAAATAATAGTGCTGCACTCTGTTGGTAATCCTTGTAACTTTAATGCTATTGAACATCATAGAACAGAACCAACTTGTTTAATTGAAACAGCTGTTATGATTCATTAATTTCATTTAAATATGAGTACTCATTAGGTTAACATGGGAAACTCCAGAGCCACTGGGGTGGAGCCCGAGAGTCCGATCAGAATAAAACCCACTTAGTTTTCCTATTTAATGCCTAAAGAATCAGTGTACCAAATATCAGCCTCCTAGGTAAGTGGGAAGTGGGAGAATTAGTGATGAGTGAGTCAGTCAGTGAGGGCTTTGCCTTTTATATATATAGAAGATTTTGTTTTGACAAACATGGACCAAGTCTATTTCTTTCATATTAAGCTATTAATGTTTCACTAACACACTTTATTACCCTCCCTGTAGCAGCAAACCTAGGCAATTGTTAAACCTAATGTTATTGAAATAGATTTAATTGAAAAACAAATCAGGCAAATGTAAATTTGCTTAGTCTGCAGGTTTGCTGAGGTGGGGGTGTTAAGATAATGTAATAGTGTTTTTAACCTTTCCAGTATTTATCGTGAAAGTGCCCTGTGAATTCTCGTCAATGTTTGCAGCTTTGTTTAATAGTTTGTTTTGTAACACAGACTGCCGATTTTAATGAGCCTTTTTGTAAACAACTCCTATTGTGTCTACAAAAAGAACAGAAACCAGCTGCTTTTTGTGTACAGCGGCATAAATTTAATTTAATACCAACAGCAAAATGTCTTACAAAATACAACAGATTTCAAAGGCCCAAAATCTCTACTTCTAAATATGTTTGATTTATTGTAGTCAGTCGCATACATCAGGTTGTGACATTTTTTACCTTTCCTGATAAATCCCTGTTCCTCTTCTCGAGTCAGTCCCGTAATCTCTACATCCGGATACAGCGGGACATTGTTACGGAAGTTGTCGATCTGCAGATGATTCGTCAACTTGGACAGTTGTTCTTCGTTCACTGTTTTGCCAAGGAAGTCACTGATGATGCGAATGTTTTTTGGTAAGTTCTAAGAAATACATGTATTAGTAATTAGTATAAAAATACCGTAATCAAAATTTTTAACATGATTTTCTAATTTTTCTCTTGTCTTTGTAGGTTACGATCCAGCATATGAAACACATCAAGTAATAAAGCAATAAATGAACGAGTGAAGATTATTAGATAATGCCTAGCCTGCAAGAAGAGACAATGCTTATACACAAAATTAAAGAAAGATAGTTGGAAATCACCACCAACAGTTTAATTTAAAACTCCTCACGGACAAAAACAACCACGATTATTTAAATTTTTATAAATATAAATAGAAATCCAATTTTACGATATGAACCTTGAACTTGGTAATATCTAAACAATACCACACAAAATCAGCAAAACGTCTAGGTCAAGCAACCAAATTGTGATTAACCTAAGTATAATAAGAAGAAATTAACGTAACCTAACTTAACACTCCAAGAAAGTCCAAGACAAATGTATACTACAGCCTAATGATACCAGTTGAAATATTGTGGCTATTGTACATGGTAATTCATTTAAGCCAGTTTAATAAGAGATCAAGAAAGAAAATGAATACGTAAAAAGCAAGAATGAGCAGTTTGTATAATAATTACTGACACAATGGTCAATAATGGTGCCACAATAAATATTTACGACTACTGCTCTTGATTATCTCAGTTACTACTTAATCCACACTTATCGATTTTGTAAAATTCTTGTACATTTTCCTAACAACTAGCCATTTGTGTAAAAAATAAAATATTGTAAATTTTGATCTGTAAGCATTGTAAAACACTTTAATGAGTAGGATTTTTAAACAGGCTTTTGGTCTGTTTCAGTTATCTTCTAAATATTTACGATTACATATTTATTTAATCATCCATTTATTGTTTTCTGATTGCTATAAACATAGTTATGTAGTGATCGTGATGTTCTCTGTACTAACATAAATTTTTATGGTGTTTTTTAGTTATAACTTGAATTTCTTCTAGATTATTAATCAATTTCGGCTTACAGTAGACTCCCTCTTATCCGGACTCCTCAGGACCGAGGCCAGTCCGGTTAACGGTTTTTTCCGGTTAACCGACGTCCTCAAAAACTCGTTAAAACGGACCATTTAGATGCATACTGTATAAGCCAATAATGATCATTACATAAGATTGTTATTACACATTGTATTTAGACACGTGACCACTGGCCCCTCTGGTGATCTTTCCCACGAGAACCGTCGTTTCAGTACCACCCACTTCCTGCCGATCTAGTCCGGTTAAACCAATGTGCTGATAAAAATTGTCCGGTTAAAGAGAGGTCATTTCCGCTGAGTGTAGTCCGGTTAAACCGATGTCCGGTTAAAAGGTGTCCGGATAAGAGGGAGTCTACTGTACTTTGAAAATATACTTTAATACTTTCTTATTAAATAACGACCATACAAAGTAGGTATTTATAGGTGCATACCTTGAGAAGGTCTTCATAAAACAGGAAAAGGAAGTTAGGATGCTTCCTTACGGCCCAAGCCTGCTTAACATGTTCCCAGTAAGGAGAGTATACCACTGAAATAGTAAAAATATATAATATGTTGTTTACATAGAACAATATGAATTAAATAGCCTGCTCTACAAAGATTAATTTAAATTGTAACAATGTTTCAAATGTATTTATTCTTGTTGCATAAACTTAAGCAAATTGATCTGGACTTAAGTCATTTATCATGGAACCAAACATTTCCTCAAAACTATATTAGACAAGGTAAAACAATTTTTTTATACTTACACAAGTCAATCTGGAAGTAGCGCCAATATTTTTCGAAATCTCCATTGTAGCCATGGACGGCAAGATATCTATAACAATCATCAAGGCTATACTTGCTTGTGCACTCATATTCACATGTATCTACCATTGAAATTAATAAAACTCAGGTATTTTTGTTTGTCTAATACTTGATATAGCTTGTGGTTATGAGACAAATTTTGCCTTTTGGTCTCTCTGATCGTTTTGTCCGTTGCACTTTTTTGCTTGAAATAGGATTATACAGTGGGTATGCTCGTCATAAGTTAATTAAGTGTTGTTAATCTTACACCCTTATGGTCCCCTTAGTATTTTTTTTCCTATTTCTTATGTCCCACCTTTTACATTTTAGGACGCTAGGCTCTAGTTAAAACCGTTTTAAACATTCCTTCAGGCTAGGCTAGAGAGTAAGCGGTATTATCTCATAGATAAAATGTATGGGTGATAGGCAGGTTTTGAACCCAGGACTTAATGGACAGAAGGCAATCGTTCTATCACTAGACCAGCTCCCCCCCCCAATCGTGTTATTGGGTCATACTTATCTCTGGCCTGCGTTAGAAGCGAACTCTCCCAGCATACAAAGTTGGTAAAACAGTTTTAGAAAATGCAGTCCCTAATTCAGTAAGGTCTTAGCACATAGTACAACCTCGATAACAAGTCTTATGGGGATTATCAAATAAGACTCATAATCAAGGTAGATTTCTTAGAGGTTCACAATAACATGTGGTTAGGGGTAACACAAAGTCAAAGGTACTTGAGAACTGCACATTTTATTAAGGGTGACCTGTTATCGAGGATCCACTGTAGGCTACCTGTTGTGATGGAAGTATGACACAGCGACGTCTAGAGGGTTGCGAGCGACGTAGATGACTTTGCACGTGTCCAGTAGCGAGGGAGGCAGCAGGGGGAGGGGTAGATGTGTCTTGAAGTGGCGAGGGGAGGGGAGAGGTTCGGCCAGCTCAGCTCCCGGAGTCCTCCATCGTTTCAACACCTCAGCGACCTCGGTGCGAAAGTTGTTTTGAGCCAACACTTCCTCGTGGAGTTGTGGATGGTGGAGCATACCAAACCTGCAAACAATTGATTGTTGGATTGCTCTTAAGTTTTTTTAAAGTTCAGAAGTGTTAGTTTATTTTTATTTAACAGTCATCATTGGACCACTTAAGACATCTAATGGGAAGAGTAATATTATTTTGTTGTCTGTTTTCTGTTCTCTCAGTACTTTTTCCTACGCTTGGACTAGTTAATTTTCTTCTTAAATCACTCTTTATGTTCTTTGTTTATTTACTATAGTTTATAGTGTAGTGTTTTTTGTGTTTCTATCCATTGGAATTTTTTAACGCTTTTTGTAACTGTCCAAACTATGCTCTACTATATAATGTTGACATTTTATTGGATAGCATCATTAATTTATAGCCCAGTGACACGGCAACTGGGTCTAGAAAAACTCTTGTTTGGGATCGAACTAGCAATCTTGGGATTATAGAAGGCAAGTAATAAGCTAAAGCTATCAAGTCAATATTGTGACACAAGTTTAAGTGAGGGGACAAAATAAAACACAACAACGTTTTTTTATTTACGTATAAGTTTTTTCACACAAAAATTACTTACACTTGAGTTTATCGATAACCTAGCTTACAACAAGATAGCCCAGGGTTCTTGAACAAGTTTGTAAATTTTTTTAAATAATTATTGATAATAATCACCAGCAGCACTCTAGTATGGCCCCTGGCGGTAGAGTGGAATACTACAGGCTTCCCTACACCCCCTCCCCCTCCATTGAAAATGTGGCCCTTTACACAATTTGTGTGTTTGCCTTTTTGTGCATTAAATACTTTTAATTATTTTTTAATTCATGTTAAAGCTAAAAAGTATCTTTTTTTCATAACACACGCTTAGAACTTATTTCTAAGCAGAACTCAGTTGAAAAATTTTAGAAGGATACAATTTTTCTCATATTTATAAGTAGGCTCGGATACAACATCCTTTATGGCCATGCAGTCTGATTATAATCTTAAAACAATTAGGTTATCCTTTGTTCTTCTCTTCGTAACGAAAAACAAGTTTGGATTTGAAAATGTTTTAAATGTGTTTTACTCAACCATATTTTTCTTAATAATCAAATATACTTTTTTTCTTTAAAAATGCAGTTAATCTATGTTGTACTCTATAAAAAAACTTAGGGTATATATTCCACCTTAACTCTGAAATGTAATTTATTAAATGTGACTTACTCTAAAAACGGAAACCTGGTGTCCAGTGGTATTGATTTGGCAGTTTGGTAATCATAGTCATTGTTGATCAGCCACACCATCTCCTGGCACCAAGTGGTCCCTGAATTGACAAAAATGTACAAATTACATAAAGAGGTAAATTAAACCCGTTAATGTTCATGTTATTTGAGGAATAATTATGGAAATCTGATTCAAAATGTCTGAAAATTCACCGCTTTACTTTAAATTTCACATAGATTATGTAGGTTAGAGCAATGAGCGGGATTTGCATGCACACAAAAACCCTTTAAACCCACCCCCATACCACCGGTGTTTTTTTTTTCTGTAAAATCACTACAATTAGTTGCCGTTGGCTTAATACCACTACCGTCTAATGTGACTTTCAGTGTTATTGGAGCTTTTCCCTCATCCCACTCACCGGTCATCACAATTAATTTACACTACAGTATCTTTATCCATCAAAATTAACAGAGCATAAAAATAAATTCAACCATACCATCAGATTCATACTTATTCTTTGATTAGAGGTTTTGTACAGAGACAGAACTGGAAGTACGTCTTACTGACTTGTGCAACATCTAGCACACATAATAAATGCGAGAGGGGATGCTATTAGTCTGGTTAACTGGTTCTGCCTCACTCTAAGGTGAATTTCACTATAGCTTGTGAAGCTGCCTCACACTGAGGCAGATTCCACTATAGCTTGAAGTGTCTTACCTGACCGAGGGAAGGTCTGTATCCACACATCGTCGGGTCGTAGAGGCAGAGTGTAGTAGCCTAGAGCCTGTTGCTCATACCTCTCAGGAAGCAGCCACCCGTCTCGGCCAACCCGGACAAACCCAGAGCGCTCACCCGAGAAGTCACCCTTTAGCTGGTCATTCAGCTCGGGTGACACAGGCTGGATGGTGTGGGGAAACTCACCCTGTCTGAGAATTAAATTAATATTTTAGATTTCAATCAGAATATTAATAGTACAGTATATTCTTGACTATAAAAACACTTAACATACCACTTCATTAGGTATTTTTTTACATTGTGGAAATTTCCGGCTGCAGAGTCTACAAAGCAAGTACTCTTTCATTACACACTTCAGAGTTTTACACCGACGTACGCATGAAACAATTAGACTAACAATCATTAACAGAATAGATGGATACAATTACATTAAAAAATTAACCAAATAGAGTTTCATCCTTAATGTTTCTCTTCCAAAAACCATCAGATAAAATGATAATTTTGTGTTTTCTAAGGGATTATAATGGAAAATTCACACGAATATTTGAAGTCACAATTGTAATCTCATTCTGTAGCAAAAGCAACATAGAATATGAGTTTCCCGTCTCAATAACTCAACAACTTATTCTGAACATTCTCAATAGCATCCTTAATATTTAAGGAATTAATAGCTCAATCAATTGGCGCAGTTAATGTTTCAATCAAACTATGTATGCAAGCTACACTACTTCCTGTATTCAACATGCAATCTTAAATCAGTATGGTATGATTGCCTGCTTTGAATTTTAAAAGTATAACACAATACTTATCCTCTTTACAGAGTCTAAATTATTTAATGGGAACTAAAATTAAAACATAAATTTAAAAAACATAGTGTCTATGTACAATTTTGGCAAACAGTAAATTCTACAGTGATCAAGATTGTAAAATAAAATACAACTACAAAAAAATTCATTTGAGAATTATTTATTATTGTTGTGTTTCGTATCATTTACTTTAGGATTCAGCAAAATATCAATATTTTGCACAACAATTATTTATTTAGTTTAAACTAGTGTCCCTGTTGCTCGAATTCGAGCAATTGCTAAGTATTAGAGGCGTTATTTTAAAAGGATTAACGGTCATAATTTCTAATGACTTTAAAAGATTCGACCAAAAGATTATGGAAATACTCAAGATGTACATAACAGTATTATATCAATTTATCCAGGCTCTATCGCTTTTTTCCATTGTAATATTTACACTAACCCAAATTCAAATAGTAAATATTCCATTTTAACCAAGTCAGTAAATGTTTGTAGCAAACTGTATTAGCAAACTTATTGAATGTTTAGAATTAACATATGTTCTTCTTCTCACTTTTAATTTCTGACAACAGCTGGAGTTTCATAACAATTTTTGTTTCCCATGTTAATGTTATGGAGAAATACAAAACTTTAAAGGGCCCCAGGGCCTCACTCTCTAATTATTTCCCTAAAAAGAAAGTTTCCTGCACAACTTCACGTTACGTTCTTTCCAATGACACCGAAAACATGTCAATCGGTTCAGTAGTTTCGGAGGAGTAATTGTCACAAAAAACATGCTTGCGTATTAAATAAGTATAGATACTTTTTTAGTATCTCAATCTAACAGAATCTTTAAATTATTCTTTTTGATTCACCATAATTTTTTAACCAAATTTAAACAAATGTAAAATTATACAATAAATAAAACCTGTACGGTTACAGTAAAATAACTTTTTCATTGAAAAACATAAGAAATATTTTTTTAATATTTCAATAATTAGTTTCAGTAACAAACAAATAAAGTAGTAACTCACTGAGATGGGGTCCAGGTGCTGGGCATATTGAGATTGGTGTAAAGAGGTCAATGAATATAATCTCTCTCTCCCTTGCCTATGAAGCCTACACACACACACACACATCTCTCTCTCTCTCTCTCTGACTGTCAGTAACCAATCACCCATAGTGTCATGGTCACCAATGTCACTGCAGTCCTCCTTCAGACTTAATTCGCATGCTAACTTTCACCAACATTAAAACTACATTAGTAAATGAAGCAAAACACAATTCGGTAAAATTTTTTTTTAGGTTTGGCAAAATAACTCTCTTTTAGTTATTACCTTTTTTCTGAAATTCATAAGTTTACCCTGCGACAAGTAAATTTATAGAATTAATTTAGGCTACTGCATTATACATTAGTTGTGAGAATACTTAAGAGGATTAAATTATTTTAATATTTAGATTGTACTAAATATTATGTGAGGTTCATTTACGTGAACCTTTAAAATTATAAATGACAGTTAAATAATTAATTTGGAATATTAGCGTGACTCATTAGCACTATAAGGATATTCTGGTTAAAATATGGCAGTTAATTTGATCGTTAAGAGTGTAGCTATGATTATCTTAGACCATGGCCCCCACAAGGGTGGGGCTGGTGCAACTCTGGTCACAGGGCCCGGGGCCTCAGGGGGCCCGGGCCTACCCATATTTTTTTATTTTTTTCCCCATTGAAGATCACTTTACAGCAGATCATAAATTGAAGATAAAAAATAATATATATATTTTACAAAAAACAAAGTTTAATAATTTAAAATGCATTAATTCTAGATTCTAAGGTAGTTTATATTTAAATACTATAGCTGCGTAGGAGCGTATGTTCTATACAACAGCAGAACAGCCAGCTCGGGCCCCAGTGGCCGGCTCCACAAACTCCCTCTACCCTTTCCTCCCGCCAGGCGCCTAGCCCCTCCTACCTCACTCTCCCCGTGATAAACAAAGTTTGGTTTTATAATTGAACTGATAGTTTCAAGAATGAATCCTTATAGTTATAAGTTAAAATAAAATTTGTAAAGCATTGAAAAATTGACATGTACTATGTACCATAGCTAAGGTGACCAGACGTCCCGTTTTAGGGGGACTGGTCCGTCCCGACAAATCCTCTCGGGACGCGTATTTGTCCCGTTTTATCAACATTTGGTCCCGGTTGCACTTTTATGTATGGTATTCCATTTTCCATTTTTCAATTAATGATTGCAATCTAGGTTATTTGACACAAACTTAAAAATTCTTTACTTTTGGAGTTTTAAAAATATGAAAGATTGTAATAATTTTTACCTAAGTTTTCTTACTAATTCGCTCGGTATAATACTGTACTAAAGCATGGATTGGATAGCATCGGCATCGACAGCATCGGTCATTCTCGGCGTTACTCGTGCACATTCGTTTTTCTCCGTGACTACTCGCACAAGTTCGGCAGCTCAGGCATCCACTTCCAAAAAAATGTAGTATTGTTAAAATTCTTGATGAAAATTGTCACTGAATAAAATATGATTTCATTGGTGTAAGCTGTTAAACTCGATTTAGGTAAGTTTTTTCCTACTCCATATTACAAAGTACAATTATAGCAGTTAAGATAGCCAAACCCTTTTACAGGGAAATAAAAAAGACAAAATATTAATAGGCATGGAGCTTTTGTGTATTGATATAATAGTTTTAATTGCTGAATTCCTGTAATTTTAAGTCTTATAAAACTCATTGAAGAACTCTTTTCTTCCTTAAAAAAGGCTGCAAAAGTGCCATTTACCACTCACAAATTTAATAGGTACCTAGATTGCCTTAAAAACTCACTAAAATACATGACATTTTCAACATTTTCCCGGGGGAGAACCCCCGGACCCCCCGTCTAGGCTGGGGGGTATTCCATACCCCCCCGACCCCCCGGTTGGTAGGGGGGCCCGAGCCAGATCCTGGTAACAGGGCCCACAATTAAATGTGGGGGCCATGTCTTAGACTACACTAGTTGAAGACTTATACTTGAATAAATGTACGTAGGTATATAAAATCAGACAAGTACAATAACCAATAAGTTTATTTTTGTAATGTACATCATCAAGTAAATATTAAATATAAATTTTGAATAAAATCTACAATGATATAGTGAGTATTTCAGTAGTTTACCTGAATGCTAAGTATGCGAATTCAAATGTCTATTAGGTAGAGTACGGTACTCAAAATAAAAAACCCAGAAAATTTAAAACTTTGAATTTTGAATTACAGTTAAAATAATCATTCATTTATATCAACCGACACCACATTGCTAACTCTAACATACTTTTCTACACAATGCCAATTTCTATCCATTACTTTTTCACTTTGTCCATAGTGAAACTCCAATGCCTTTGTTTCCCTACTTTCATCCCCGTTACCGACATTGACGTCGAATTCTTCAGCCAGTTTTTTCAAATGTTGCAAATTTCGTTTAATCAGTTCCAACTCTTCCGAACACATTGAGTCGAGCTGTGTCAAAGAGTGTCGCATCATGTTCAGCGCAATTTGTTTTTTCGAGTGGAGTTGTAAAAGACTCAATCTCTCCTTGGGGTTCTGTGTTTTCACGAGATTGTTTACGAATTTAGTAAAATTGTTAAACGTAGAATTGGAAGATGTATTTAAACTGCAAGTTGAGTCTGTTGATGCAGAGAAATACAACGATCTCTCACTTTCGCTCTCATCAGAGTTGTATTGGAAACTGTTTGAAGAATCTGCGAGTTTCTGAACTAAAATTTCAGTTTCAAGTACACTTTCTTTATGTAGTTGTTCACCCTCGGTTTTTACTTTTTCTTTCAGTTCGTCGATTCTTTTCTGCATCGCTTCCATTTTATCTCGCACATACTCACGTTTGAACATTGGATGGTTTTTGATGGAGGATTGGTAATCTTTTGGTCCATCATTCTTTGAATTATCAATTATTGTTTCTTGACCCATCTTTTGTTAGCTGAAGTTAAATTTTTAACTTTCTAGCATTAAATATTTAAACTTAAGTGTTATTTGAAGTCAATTTGTATATTTCTGTTAGGAAATGATTACGTAAAGAATAGTTAACTTTAAGGCAAGTTAAAAATGAAATTTGAAATCTATTTGTATAAACAGTAAACAAAAACAGTATTTTATAACTTACATCAAACAAATGAATTTGTATTTCAAAACAGCTGGCTTAACATTTTTAAGGCTAGACTTGGGGGTTTCAATGTAAGTCATAACTACACAATTTTTTATATGTTTAATAGAGCAGGGTCTTTGTATTGCTTGAAACAAACACTGAATCAAGCCTCTATATTTGTTTTCAAATTCAGAAATCCACTGACTCGGTTCTTGAACTATTTTAAATAGAATTTATACCTGATCAAAAGGTGAGACAAAATTCATGTATTATTTATCCACCCACACATCGGTAAGGTAAATTATCAGGTAATAGATATACTTGTTCTGGTATGAAATGTAAAAAATAAAATATAAGTTGTCTAAAAATACAAAATAGTTTACAAAATAGTACCTTGTCTTACATTCCATGTCACAATCTTTGAGTCTCACTACCTTTGCACCTAACTACTGCTCTACAGTTGTCACTGTTACATCACTGTCACTATTATTTGTCACTTTGTCACAGTTGAATGGAGCTTCTTTACTGTTTTGCAACCATCCAAACCAAGGTGACATTGTTCTTCCGGCCCAATGCACTACTTAATTACATCCGTTCCAGTTATTAGACTATAATTGAACATTTTCAATTACTGGTTGTTTAGGCCTGCAAACCTAATACAGAAACTGAAATGATTTTTTGTAGTTTTTAGTTTAAAATTTAGTGTTCAATGAAAGAATTAACTGTAGGATCCATTTTAGGGTTGTTTTACTAAGAGGAATCCAATCTAACCCTTTAAATATTAACAATATTTCTTTATATTTGATTCATACTTAAAAACAAATTGCATAAACGCTATAAACATTTTAGATAACTTTATTATTATTATTAAAGATGGGAACGCCACCTAGATGCGTATTTCAATTTCAGCCCAAATAAGAGTGTAGAATGGAGTGATGCTTTTTGTAGCTTTGTTACTAACTATGACCAGCTTTTTCATAGGCCACGGTCATTTATTAAAAGTCTATTGATCAAGGACAGCTTGGTGTAATCATGAACTATCAAAAAGTAGTTTTGAAATTAGATGAAATATTATTGTTTTCAACAGGCAAAGTTAGGGCCTCAGTTTTTATAGTTTTACTTAGGAGTAGATAGTTTCTAAAACATAGAAGCAGGAACGTGTTGATTTAATCCTGAATTGGTCGTTAAGTTAGAATTTTTTTCTCTACCATAAATGGGTAATAAAAGTCTGGTAAAAGCTCAATTATGTTTATTATAAACTTTTCTAAACAAAAATATTTTATTATTTATTTATTAACTTTGTGTAGGATATTAAAATCTATTTCCAACACTTAGCTGCATAAGCCTAAAAAATGCAAGTCCACAGCATTTCTTGTAATACTTATATGTTTTAACTTTATCTTGAATTGGTGAAACAGAACTTTTAACTGTACTAAAATAATATTTCCTACTTCTATAAACAGTCTATTATTATTAACCTTAGTTGTTGATCAAAACCTATTATTCAAAGGTTAAAAACATACCTCTAAGGGCCGGTTTTTTAGGAGTTGAGTATTTTAATGATAGATACATTCGTTAATGATTCTGATTATGAGAGCTAAATTGCTGAGCAAAGCAGATCCCCCTGAAACATTCTTTTGGGCTGTAAACTATAGACTATAGTTAAACTAGTTAATTAAACTATAAAACTTGTTTAAGATTTTTGGATTCTCACACTTAATGGCTTGTATGTGGAAGAAATAATTAAATGCGTCAAAGAACACCTTAAAAACCTAAAGCCATCACCAATAACGTCACAATTTTGATTTGATTCACCAATGTAGCCAGAGTAGATGATGTTTATACGTAGGTTTTGGTGGGGGTGGTGCCGGGGTGATCTCTGGCAAAGGGATGTGTAGCTTTGTCCAGTCTTGATACGAAATATAAGGGTCTGTGTCTCCGAGATGAAAGCCCACCACACCAAAGGTGGTAGCGTTGGGCGGCATGTAGAAGGAAATTCTATGGTTGTCTATCTTGATACAGTCAAAACTGAAACAGAGGGTTGACTCTCAATTCCTTGAATTTTTTATAGGATTATTTAATTACTAGCAGAGTACCCGTCCTTCGTACGGGGTTGGAATTTAAGTATAAAATGCTTATTGCAGTTATACTCAAGCTTTGCGTTTGCAATAAGGGAGGACACAGTTTGATAAGATTTGTTTTTTTTTTAATTTTACAGTATTCTATAGTATTACACATCTACCATAGCCATAATGCTCTACCACTTCACCTAAACAACAGAGAAAAGTAAACTATCCACAATTCACAAAATATCACAAATTATTCATGAAATGAAAAACATAAATATAACTGTAAACAATCCTACTTTGACAGATCTCATTGCGAATTACAGTTTTTTGTTGCTGCTTATTAGCTGTTTTCATAAATGCAAAAAAATATAGTGCTGCACCCTGTTGGTCAATCTTATAACTTTTTAATGCTTTTCCATATCATAGAACCAACATTTTTAGTTGAAACAGCTGACTAAATTCTTTAATCCCCTTTAAATATGAATACTCATAAGGTTAACATGGGGAATTACAGAGCCACTGGGGCGGAGCCCGAAAGGATTTTTGAGATAAGAATATGCCTATATGTTAATCGGGAATGTAAGCTATCATCATGCCAAATTTCAACCCAATCCGTCCAGTGGTTTATGCGTGATTGAACTTCAAACAAACAAACAAACAAACACACAAACTTTCACATTTATAATATTAGTAAGATTATAAATCTGATAACTTATCCTCTGTTTGCCGAATTTGTACGGTTTTAGGGGAAGAAACCTATCCCCTTGCCTTCATCCTACCTTTAAAACAAAAGCGCAACAGCTGAGGATTGTCAAAATGTCAATCAACTGCAAAATATACATTAAGCAAAAAAAGTAATGGGGAACTTCCCCTCAAACCGCCTAAATTTTCTGAACAGACTGTAGATATTTATGAAATTGGTGTAAGCTGTAAGTAGTGATGTGTTGGATCCAGGGGTGTCGGTCAAGGGGGAGTAAGGAGGAGCCATCCCCCCAATCTTCGGTGGAAAGTGTAAAAGTTGGGGATTTTTGAGTATTGGAAGCTATGAAGTTGGGATTTTGGGAAGTTAACCAAACAAACTACTAACCATTTAGTAGTAATAATATGTACAGTACAATAAAAAAAATTAGTAGCCTAATTAATATTATTCGTTCATCGATAATCACCTTTCAATTGCATAGACTGTGGACATTGAGCCATGTTTGAATGAATTTCAATGAAGAAAGATCTCTTAAGAAGAATCAACTTCTTGATTAAGAGTCACATTTTTATTGGATTGATAAAGCCATAGTCAGGACACTGATAAGTCGTTACATTAAAACATAGTGAATAATCTTAAGGAATCGGTGCGGTTAGGAATCAAGTGTCCAGCACAAACAATACATTACAATCTAAAATTGAGTTTGGTAACACGTCAACTATTTTATTAGATGGTCTGTCAAATTTCAACTCGGTTGATTGGTTGATATTGAAATGTCTCACCTGATAGAGAAGAGTATCCGCCGCATGGATGTGGCCTCGAGTCTCATGCAGAGACTGAGTCCGTTAGGGTTGTGGTGAATGTCGTAAAGTCGGATGCAGAAACTGACGAGGGGAATGTACGGCGTCGAGCTGCAGAATGGCAGCGGGTTACGGCCTAGAAGAATCAAAAAAGTAAAATTTTGTTTACATTCATTGTGCTTTGTTCTTTGTCAGATGAATCAATTGCGCTATTGACACGACAAATTTAGTTTGGTTTTGATTTGATACTTTATCTAATGGGCATATTTAAAGATAATGAGAATAAAATAATAAGGAAAATATCGGAATCAAATAGTGATAAAAAGTTTGTTTTAACAATGTTGTTTGTTTCAAGAAAAGATTTGCTATTTAAATCCATGCTTTAGCCCCTGACCTGAAAAAATAGGCTTTGCCTTCATCAATATCAACATATACATCATACATTGTTTACTGTCTCACCTACAGTTAGGGGTTTTTGTCCTAGATAGATTGTTTTTTACATTACTTCAGGCTAGACCCGGGGGTTGCGGCAATATGGTTTAGATCAAATCCATCGGTGATTTGGACCCACCTCAGGGACCATAAATTTTGCGCTCTAACCACTAGAACTGCTCGCTCCCCCAAGTATCGTACAGTTATGGGTAGGGTTAGTTTTGAGTTTCACAATTAAATTTATGACTCTTTTTACCTGAAAGCACTCGTGTGATGATTATGTGTCCGTTGATGCTGAAGGTCATGAAGATGGCAAAATCCCTGCTTACATACTCCATCTCCATGCAGCCTGTACATAGTGTTAACATCGATTGAAAAATGTAATACCGGGTTTGAACTAAAATCTCATCACTTAATCAACTGATCAAGGTCTTTTCCGTATCGTAATTAAATGTTACACTGTGTTTTGTTTTAAGTTTAAGGCATATTGTCTGGGTAGACGAGTGATTAGGTGCTTACCTTCAAATCTGAAGGTCGCTGTTTTGATTTCACGTGAGATCGTTTTCAGACCCATATACTATTTCATTGGACTATGAGTTATTGATGCTATATAACAAAAATTTCGTATAATTTGGTAACAAAACCAGGGTTTGGACGTTTAAAAATTGCCATTGGCACTTAAAACATACATCACAAAAACACACAAAATAAGGCATGGATAGATCCAATGGAAGGCTGTATGGGGGCTGCAGCCCCACCCTTTGGTGTGGTACAAAAATTTACACTTAAAAAGTAGGTATGGTTTGAATAATTATTTTATGTTGTGCCTCCAGATTGCCACAAAATGTATGTTTCCGGTTATTATGTTCAAGATGAGATTACCCAATCTTCCCAGGCAGGATTCGTTTTCTACTGGCTGGATCCTCCCATGTTCAAGGTGTTTTTCTTTTAAAGGCATGTAGAAAGGAAACCAATCCTTCTAGATTCAGATGTAACCAAATCTATTCATATTTATTTCTATTAAATATATAGCCTCAAACTAAAAAATAAAACTATAATTAGATACATTTGTAATTGCACAGGTATCACATACATGAAAGGTTGAAATGCTTATTTTTGTTAAGTTTCACCAAACCCATCATCATCAACTGTTACACAAAACTTCACGATTGATAATTATCGATCTAAAAGTATCGAGTGACTATACTACCACTTTCTACATTACCTTTAAATTTTTCCCTCCCAAACAGCTTGACAGAGTAGCAACATCCGCAGTACACATCGTGACAGTTACACAACTTGCTTCTCTGGGAAACCGTAACGGAATCATTCACCGCCAACATCACAGGCTTGCTTTTCTCTTTGAAAAAGAACTCTTCGTTTTCTCTCATTATTTCAAACATGTCCTCCTCCTTCTTAAAGAACTTATCATCTTCTCGCTCCCCGAAAAACTGTTCTACAGCTTCGTCAAAAGATGGTTTCTGAGTAGTTGGCGTGTCAAAGAACGGAAACATGTTGTCATGAAAAAACTCCTCCGATGAAATCTCTTTGGAATCTTTGAACAATGTTCACCAATCAAAATCTTTGGTAATTTGTGTGAAATAAAAAATGATAACAAGTTTAATACATAAACTCTGACATCATAGCAGATATAAATTGAGTGTGCAAATTATATGTTTATCTGAATCAAATGTATTGTATACCCATATTTTATGTAATGCTAATATTTTGTAATATGAAAATCATATAACTTTTCTCTCAAGGAAAGGTCTTAAGTTGTTAAATTAAATCTAAATTGTTAACAATAACTTTTGCTGTTCAGGATTCTCGTCAACTGTCTCAACATTAACTTCTTAATCAACTGTTGCATCTCCTTTAAATTATTTATCATTGTAGACTGTCAAGAAGATATGTAAATATTGATCATGCATCCCCGTTAATTAATTGTGATCTGGTTGTCACTTCTAATGGAATGGCTCAAGAAAGTTGGTAGTTCTTTGTTATACTCTGTTCACAAAATTTAGGCAGTTGAGGGGAAGCAATTCCATCCCCTCCACTTCACCCTAACTATAAAACAACAGCTGATATATTCATTAGGGTACAAAAAGTGATAGGGGAACCCAGGAAACCTTCCCCTTAAGCTGCCTAAATTTTGTGAACAGACTATAGAAGGTTTGCATCTAATTAGTATTGTAAAACAGCAAAACTTTAACTCAATTTGGATAAATATTGGATCTGTTTGGAGTGAATACTAACAACTGATAGATTCAGTTGTTGTGTGGGTGATTAGGTTAGGTTAGGTTGCAAATTAGTAATGTTTGACTTTGGATACAAGTAGTCTTCGCTCCTACTGTGTACAATCTAAAGCCTGTTTTGATGTTTTTCATATCTGGTTAGTGGTTACATTTGAGCATATTTACATACATATTTTCTCTTCTATTACAAAATTGTAGGGTGCGGCCTATCCTTTGGTTTAAGTACAAGAAGTTTATAATTTGATTGTTTAATTAGGTTCTTAAAAATAGGTAGTCATGATGGGTAGCCTCTGGACCATACAGCAACAATAATAATTGTTTAATTTACCTCTGTCAATATGGTCCTTGCGTAGTTTGTCACTACTGCAGTTTCGTGCTCGTGGAGCACATCATCAGGTGAAGGTCACAAAAAGTTAAAACATTTTCCTTACGTGAAGGTCGTCAATTTAACACACCAAAAAAAACACATAACACACGAACGGTACGAAAAAACATTTGAACTTGGCCAATACATTAAAGACGTTACACACGGGGTCCGGCGCCGGTAGAAGGCAAGTCATGACTATGTGTTTTTTCGGTGTGTTAAATTGACGCCCTTCACGTAAGGAAAATGTTTTAACTTTTTGTGACCTTCACCTGATGATGTGCTCCACGAGCACGAAACTGCAGTAGTGACAAACTACGCAAGGACCATATTGACAGAGGTAAATTAAACCATTATTATTAAAAATAGTGTTGGTGAAATAACAAAAGATAAATAATGAATATGAAAAAAGATAAATATTTAATATGAAAATACACTGCATGCTCAGGATAGAAAGGAACATACTTCAAAATTGTCTTCAGCTAATCCACAAGGATGAAAAATTAATGTTTTGAGTATGTTTCATCCATGGGAGTAATGGATGAAGTTTTGCTGCAAATCTTTGTTGGAAAACTTTGACTTGATGAAGATAGAACACATACATATTACTAATACTGTAGGCCTACATCATTGTGATAAATGAAAAATAATTGATGAAATCTAGTTTAATTATGGTTAATTACCTCCCAACATATCCAGGTTTAAGATGAAAAATAAAATCACCTTTATAATTGCATGGCCCAGTCCCGTTACTAATAAATCTGAAAGTAAACAAAAGTGTTTCTTATAAACAACAAATACTTTGTGTTTATTAATCAGAAAATTAATTGATCAAAAGATTGAATTTGTTGTGTTAAAAAAGTGATTTGAAATTGGTAAAACTTACTCATTTCTATATTCCATTGGACTTCATTCACAAGACACCATACTTGGGCAATGAATCATTCAAACAATCTAAATTCATCTCACAGACCTCATAAACTACTAATGAACACGACACTGATAAAATAGTATTTCTGTCATCAAAACCTTGTCAAACTATTGGATGTGGTTTGTGTGATGAACTATTTATTCTCTAATGGTCCAGTAAATGTAAAATTTACTTAGTAGATAGTTTATGATTTTTTTTTATTGATTGTATTTCCAGATGAGAAACCCCTGTTTTGAGGCTGTTTACAATTTGCCAACAGTATCTTTTAATTTCAAATGCATTAACTTATAACATTATGAGGATTTTTTATAGTTATTTAAGTAAAAAAGAAGTCTTCACCGGAAGTTTAAAATATATTTGTTATTTAAAGGCACATAATAGCTTGAACAAAATTTATTTTTGAGCACTTCTGAGCCTACAAAAGAGAGGTTTAATGCTGAAAACAATAAATGTGAATTATTGCAATGACAATATCTGTTTTGGTTATTGTAAGTTTGTGTTTTAGAGTTTTTCAAATGAATGGTAAATAAATTATATAAATATAAAAACTTCAACTTTATTATAAAACTATACAGTAAGATTACAAAACGTTGGTAATAACTAATAACAATATAAAAGAAAACAATTTGTGAATAAAACTGCAATACATATTTACAAAATGGCCTGATACAAAATTTGATTTAAGGCCATCATTTTCTTTACTCCCTACAAAAGTCAAACAAACCTACCATAAAAACATCAGATACAAATTTCACTAACACGGGTTTTTTCAGGAACTGTCTATATCATAATACAAAATGTGGATAATGTAGTATTAGGCCTACTCAAACAAAGAGGGACCAAACAAGAAACCGATACGATACAATACTCTCGATCACAACACAAATCAGAAGTTTTTTAAAGGCACAAAAATTTTGTTATATGAGCAAACTTTTTTTCAATTGTCTTCTGAGTCGAGACATTTATTGACATGGGCATTTATCTTTGATTCACCAAATCGCATTCCACAGATCATACAGGCAACTCTATTTTCAGGCTCGATGATTTCTATATCACTGTCATATTCAAATTTCGGCTTAGACGCATTTACAATGCGTAAAAGCTGAGGCGATTCCGTATCACTTATTTCAATCGGAGAATCCCTGGGAGTTGTTCCGTCGTGTATGAGGATCGGAGAATCCCTGGGAGTTGTTCCGTCGTGTATGAGGATCGGAGAATCTGAATGGAGGGTTACACCTGAAGCTTGGTTATACGCATCACTCGGAGACTCGTCAAACACATTGAGTATCCCAGACTCGGCCAAACATTGGTCCAGATGAATGTTAATATCCCCTTCAACATGGAGAGCGCAGACAGGGCAAAAAGTTATCTGGGATTTCTTATTTATTTCATTTACTTCTTCAACATCACCATCTTCATCCACAGTGCTGTTGTTGAAAACATTTTGTAGTCCTACGCAGTCCTCCATGTGAGCTTCTATTTCTTCTCGAGGCATACTCGTCTCGCAGACTACACATTTACACAAATCCTTCCTTTCATCAGGTTTATTACCAAGAGAATGTCTTGATTCCGGTTTCTTAGTTGATTCTGCATCAAATTTTTGTTTCTTCTTCTCTGGATGATCTCCAAGGCTCAAAAGCCGACTTCTAGATTTATCGATACCGGTACTGCCTCCCAAGGTAAAACCGGAACCTGAAAAGGTTTTAAAGGTGTCGATTCTCAATTTTGTGTTGGGGCTGGGAGTTTTTTCATCGTCGGTTTTGTTCTTGGTTCCTGACAATACCATAGTTCCTCCCCCTCGATTTGCCAACATTCCACCTCTAGCTCCTCGATTTGAAGGTACATTTCTTCCTTTGAAATTGTTTTCATTGCCCCTTCCTAAGACATGGCCGTTTCCTATATTCTTCGGAGATGTTTTCTGGGGAACTTTTGATCCATTGGAGTTGGACAAATTGCCAAAACCCACAACTCTGTTGACTGCCGAGTTAGATGGTTTGACTGCGGTGGGGGATTGATTGGAGGCCAAGTTGTTGAAACCAAATATGTTACTTCCGACCTTCTCATTGGTTGACGGTTTTGATGATGATGGTAAGGAGCTTGACATATTGGCTGGTTTCTTGAAAAAATTCCGAATATCTTTTCCCTCCTTGGGATTTTTCATTGCTGAAACAAACCAAAAATAATCTATAAAACTTTTACCATCCCACAAAAAGGTATTGGCTTGAAGTTATATTTTTTTAAACAGTAACAGCGTAAAAGGTTTCACTGGGAAAAGCCTGCACTTAATTACATCCAAAGATTTATCAATTTAATCACAATAATTTTACCTAGAATGCCTAAATTCAAAAATTAGGCTACAAAATTGTAGAAACTGACATCATATTATTTTACAATTAATAATTAATTGTTGTTATTACTGTATTTTCTCACTGCATAAGTGGTACAAGTGACACTATTCTTTAACCATTACATAAACTAATAAAGAGAATTTTAATTTTGAATCATAAGATAAATTAAGTGTAGCTTACATTCAAGCTAAAAATCCAATAACTCTTCAGACCTCTAGTTGGTTTTTAATAATACTAAACTAAAAACGTATGTTTTTTTTAAATTGTGTACTTCTACAAAATTGGCATTTTTAATGTTTTTGCCAAGGGAACTGTCCAAACCCAAGTCTTACTATCATCCAATCCAACCTTAACCTTTTTTAGGTAGTGTTATTATTGTTTGCCCAATGCCAAAACACATCTTGGTCAAGAATCAATCTTGCATAGAATTGTTAATTACGTCAAAACATTCTAAATTGAGTTTTCAAATGATCATCTCACCTTTGCTCTTAGCCTTCACTCCATAACCCTCGGGCTCTCTTATCTTGACAAAGCTGCCGCCACAAGCCGCCTGGTGATCCGCCCACCAGAAGTCGTTGGGTCCCGGGGCTCGGTTCCTGGCTCGCTTCACCATGCCAAAGAACGGAGCTCGTTTCTGACAGGGACCGTTGCATCGCCACCAGTGCTGTTGATACAGCTTCACTTCCGCATGGAACGAATGATAGACCTGGCATGACAGAAAAAGAACCTGAATTTACAATGGTTAGGATTTTTACTGGAACTTCTGGGTCGTGTTTGAAACAAATTGTAAATTGGTTGGGTAAATTTTGGCAAGTGTTGAGAAGTATTGACATTTATAAAAGTAAACCACCTTTATTAATGACCAAAGCGGTCCATTTCAGTTAGAAAAAACATCCCATAAGTTGCAATAAAAAATAAAGTTAAATTTATTTAGACCGCATCGCTGAATGCTGTTTATGTCACCCTAAAAACTTTTGGATTAAAACAAGAGTCTACCAAGGTGTCCGTCCATCCGAATTATTTCCTACTGAAACCACTCAAATCTAAAACCCCTTCTTTAATTTTACCTAACCGCTGAAATAAATAAAGATTAGTCCATTCTCAAACTTGAACACTTACGGATATGTTTGTTCCTGCCTCTTTGTTGATTCTGTTCATGTGTTTGTGAAACTCGGGGCCGTGGCCGTCTCTGTCTCGGTTGTTGTTTGTCACAAACAGATAAGCGTGGATCATCTCGTGCTGAAATTAAAATAACTAATTATAGGGTAGGCCTACAAGGTTTTCCATTACACCATGGAACAAGACTCTTGTGGGGATTATCATACATGTTAAGACTTGTTATTAATATAACTTTTATCACAGTTAGTAAACATGTGTTATGGGTATAAAATCGCGGGTATTTGAATATGATAACAAGGCCATGACTTGTTAACGAGGGTATGTTTATTGAAGTTTCCTGTACTGAAGTAATATTTCAAGGTACCATAATTATCAGTAATTGATTTCTAACTCGGAATTTTAGTGGTATTTATTTACGCATTTACTAGACAAAACATACATAATAATGAAAAAACCCGTTTAGCTTAGAAGTGTTGTATTTTACTCACCAACAATGTCTCCACAAGATCACTCCGCGGCCGTAACTTGAGGAGTGGTGCACTCAGTCGTACAGAACAAAGTCCGTTGCGACCTTCGTAAACACAGACCCCGGCACACCTGTAAACACATTTAACTTGCAATGTAAACATCAATAAATCTCATCTGGAAAACTCAATCGTACAAGCGCTCTGTGTGTCTAAAGCTGTTTAAGAAAAAACTCAAACTAAACGCTACTCTTAACAATTTAATTATAAGCATCAGATACAGATACATTACCGGTAACCCTTCACAGTGATCAATCCGTTTGGTGGTAGCATCTGATGACGAATTAGTGAACTATTTTGAATTAAGAGTTTTCAATTTTTTTATGCTACAAATACTAGCCTATAATTCATTGTTCATTAGTTGACATTGTACGTTTCAACTTCATTCAAAATTCTCATAGGCCTATTGATTGTCATGCAACTCAAAATAAATTCGTAATGATACTCAGACAAGTTGTAATAATGAAAAACGTGATATAGATACAACTTACGACGTCATTTGAGGGCTCCATTTCACTTCAACTCCAAGAAGACGGCCCCAGAAAAATCTGTCGTTGAAAGCCAAAAACAGGCCATGAACATCCGGACAGGGATCAGTCACTTCCCACTCAGGGTCAATGAGAGACGATTGGGGAGTGAAGCTTTGCCTAACTGGCGTTGGTAGATTCTCCTGAAACAATTGAATATCAGCTAGGCCTAAAGTTGTTCACACATACACCCAGATTTGTTACTTAAGCTACATTATACTTTGAATTTCTTATCATGGTTAGCAGTGGATTTTTAAATCTGTGGATTGAATCAGTAGGCTATTAATTTTATTTCTCTACAGGCTATTAAATTAATATATTGAGTATTGCTTTTTAAAACCAGGTCATCAAATAGTCTAGTAGCTAGGCTAGGTGTCAAAGCCTTTATTGTTTTACAAAAAAAAGAGGCAAAATGTCTACTATAGTCCTCGCCACCCTAAGTTGAGGCAGCCAAAGGCCGCACTAGATATACGCCGTGCGGCCTTGGGCTGCCTCAACTTAGGGTGGCGAGGACTA